TTAAGATCATCTGGTGTTTGAGGCTGCATTCATGTGACAAACAAAAACAAGACTGAATGAAAATTTAAGATGTTTAAACTTTGTGGAAACTTTGAAAATCCTCAAATAAAATTAGGCCTCAACTGTTGTTTAATGTGATGGGAATTAAATAAATAAAGCTTCCTTTAGAATAAATAAACAACTATATGAGTCCTGGTAGGAAGAATGCTGAGTTCTCTTGAAGAATTTTCTTAGCAATCTATAACTGAACCAATGCTGGCTCATCCATTGTTTTGACTAACAAGTTCTATGTCAAACACCTTCTTCTACACTGATGAGACGGATATGTAGAGTATGATCTCCAGAAATTTTGGACTGAGTGGGTGTTTAAAAAAAAAACCTTGTTCAGGTGATGAAAGAAAATGTTCTTTTTTTGTTTTTACTGTTACTAATTTTTTTAAAATCTTTTGGCAGATGTCATTCCTCTGATCAATGGAAACTCCCTACCGTGTCCTCAAGTGCAACCAATGAACATCACAGCTCGTGCTACAAATCGGGATGAAGGCCCATGTTTCTTAACAGGGTGAGATTTAGCTTCAAATATGGTCTCACCATAACAATGTACAAATCTTAAACATCTATCCCAGAAAATAAATACCAAAATAAATACTTGACATCCAATTAGTGCTGTAATGTAGATAATCTAATAGACAAAATATGTGATGTAGAATATTTTAAAATGTTTTAATCATCTATTTTCTTTTCATTCCAGTGTTTCTGGGTTCTCTCCTGGTTTGGCTGCTTCTCTGGTGCTCACCCTCCTGCTGCCAATCATTTTTATGTTGGCTTGATGAGGCTATAGAGCCATAGATCTGCCCTTCAAATATTTTGCCTTTGCACAAACATAAACACAGTAATGCTTCTGAATCTCGTTGGATATTTTTTTAAACTATGATTAAAAGAAAATGCTGCACTATAAGCATTTTTTTTATTAAGAGCAATTGTATGGGATGAAATATTTACATTATATAAATGTTTGGTGGTGGGAACACATTTTCTATTATACATACTTCTTGATGTTGTCAAAGTATCGGTAAAACAAAAAAAATCTTACTGTCGGCCTTCTTTTTATCACATTTGAAGAATCAACCAGTTTTAGATTTGTTTTGGGTTTGAATTTCCAATGCTGTATTTACCAACACACTAACATGCTTTACTATGGATCTCGGGGCTTGGTGGCTTAATAAAGAAGATGAAAGTTTCAAAACAAACTGTCTGGTCTTTTACGCAGCTACATAAACTACAACAAAATGTATTTCACTCAATGTTCCTTGTGTTAAACATCACTTAATAAAGTAGCCTTTTTTCACAGCTGTGTGACAATATTAGCTTTTATTGACTGCAGGCTTCAACCCCTACTGCTTTTTCACCGCTTCCACTACTTTGATTTAACTGATTCATAAGACAGAGAGAAACTTTATCCAGTAAAGAAAATTGCATTTCATACAGTCTAGCATCTACATAAATATTCTTGTTCAACAATGATAGTGATAGCTATCAAAATGAAAGAAACCTATCTCTATAGATTTTCTTCAACAAATAAGAAATAGGATTATGTGCCAATAAAAGGCTTTATTAAATCATGAGTGAGGATGGTATGGTGAGGCTTCATAAATATTTAGGGGTGTAATATAAATTCCATTGAATTCATTTTATTTGCAGAGCACCAATTCACAATGAATGTCATCTCACAGCACGTTACAAACATAAATAAAATGTAGACAGAACTACACACATTAAAATAACAATAGGGGATTGAATTTTTAAGGTTACTAATTTCCTACTGATTTTGTCAGCAAGGAAATTTTCAACAGATGCTCCATTTTCTCAAGACACCACTTATGGTTTATTTTCAGCCCTTGTTTTAAAGTAGCCAAGTCATTTTAGCTTGTTTTTCCAGTCAGCACAAAAAACTATGGAATCCCATATGATTGCATCAAGTCTTTGATTTTGCAGCAGTCGCTCTGACATGCATAAAAGCAGAACTGCTCTCTAACAGAATGAGAGAGAGCAATTCTGCCTTTGTGTGAACAGCTGTCTACTGCAAAGGACACAGGTTTGGAGAAGACAGAGCAAACACACACTCTCTTTCAGATGTCATTTTTGCTTGGCTTAGATTTTTGTCTCCTCACCTACAGTTTCAGGTACAAAAAAATCTATCCATTGGCTTCACATAGACAGGAAAATGCTGCAAGGCATTTTCCTTACATCTCATCCATGCAAAGGTCTTCCTCTTCAATTTTTTCCACCTCCTTTCACTTTTATGTTCTTCATCCGCTTTGCCTGACACACTGTCCCTATTATTGTTCTGTTGATTTTTTGCTTCTTTGACAAATTTTGAATTGTCAGTTTTTATAACAACAGGTTATTTCTTGCTGTCAAAACTGTACTTTTCCTTCTGTAGATGATATCTCTGAATAGAAAACTGATCAGAAGAATGCGTCAAATTGTTCATATGAATTAAAAATAAAACAGTAATTCCTGAACAGGAATTAGCTAATGAAAATGCATTCATCTTGCAATGTTATTTTTCACAACTAGAGTTACAAAGCAACCGGAAAATATTTCTTTCTCTCGCCTTTTTTGACAAAAGTACATTTAAAAACAACAACACAAAACTCTACTTCTGCTTGAATTCCTTATTGTTGATTGTGGAGGTTCCTCCATCTTCTCCGTGTTAGTATTCTTTTCTTCAGTGTTAGTATTTTGTTAATGTTTTATATTGATAATATTTATATTGGTAATATCACTTTTTCTTTGGTGGTGGGTTTTTGGTATTAAGTTGTTTACTACATTGGGTGCACACATTTTAGTAAACGCTTGGTTTATTTAGAATATTAACTATTTTGTTTTTGGTTGAGTTGAAGGACTGGCTGGGAGGAGTTGATTGTCTCAAACCAGTAATTGGAACGAACCATCAGGCTGCAGGAAGCAGGGAATTTGATGTGGAAGACTCCTCCTCTCGCTCTATTGTTATAATATTTACGGTGTTAGGTTGTGATTTGAATTGTTATTTATGTTTATGTATTGGTTGTTTTTGTTTTCTCCCCCACCCCTCCTTGTGTGTGTGTGTGTAGGCTAGCCTTTGTATATAAATTCCCCTGTGCGTTCATTGAGAAGAGTCAGTTAGTTTTTGTTTGTTGAGTTGGTATGCTTTAGTTGATTGTTTTTGGGCCCATTTTTCTTAAATTTCTTTTTGAGATTTGTTGTAAAAACATCTTTTGTTAAGCTCTTTTGAAAAATTAAATAGTTTTTTGTCCTTGAGTTTGCTGGTCAGACCATCACATTGATCATAGATAGACAAGTTCCTGTTCACAATCAACTACATGTATTTGGTATTAACTGCCTCTGTGAAACACAATAATTCTGTGGAAAAACGGATAATTTCTTCTAATTATATAATTCTGTGGAGATTCATAGATTAGTGTCATAATATTTTAACTTTATTCTATCTTTTAAAACATTGTTAGGTTGACATCATTAAACTCTGCAATAATAGATTGTCTCCAATGTGTACTGTCTCTTTATTCATCATATAGAGGATCTGTAACAATAGCCGTTTCAGTAAAATGCTTCATATAATAACTTTGTTGTACTTGTGTTGCAGCATCTTTAGCTTCTCTCCTGCAATAATGGCTTCTTCTGAATGTACATGTTCCTGGTTAAATCAAGGTATTTTGTAAATAAAAAAATATTCTATTTGGTGTTTGTTTTACTAAAAATTCGGTAATTCACTCTTATGCAATCTATTGCAGTCTGTTCCTCTTTGACCCTTCTGTTTGAGAAGCATATTGAAATTACATGCAATTAAAAGAATAAAAAATAATTACATGTAATTAAAAGAAATTAAATAATTACATGTAATTAAAAGAACGATTTTAATTACATGTAATTAAAAGAACGATTTTAATTACATGTAATTAAAAATACGATTTTAATTACATGTAATTAAAAATACGATTTTAATTACATGTAATTAAAAATACAATTTTAATTACATGTAATTAAAAGAACGATTTTAATTACATGTAATTAAAAATACATTTTAATTACATGTAATTAAAAATACGATTTTAATTACATGTAATTAAAAATACAATTTTAATTACATGTAATTAAAAGATCTATTTTAATTACATGTAATTAAAAATACAATTTTAATTACATGTAATTAAAAATACGATTTTAATTACATGTAATTAAAAGAACAATTTTAATTACATGTAATTAAAAGAATTGAAATAATTACATGTAATTAAAATTAAAATAATTGCATGTAATTAAAAGAATTAAAATAATTGCATGTAATTAAAAGAATTACATTTTCTTGAAACTATATTTTACTATGCAGATTTTATTTCTTTTAATTGTGATCATTATGAAATCCTGAAGCAGTAAAGAAATCAGTAAATTAGTTAAACACAGCGAAAATGTAACATTCAGAATCATGAAAAAAATCTCAGACTTGACTCACATGTAGGCAGCCTCCAAAATGTTGTAGGATAAGGAAACCCAACAACTGGAAATGGTTGACAAGAGGATTGCCAACCAAAACCATTCAAGAGTTTTGGTGGAGATTTGGATGGAATCAGTACTTCACATATTGCTACACTGACCTACTTTAATTAGGGCATAAGCGGCAAATATTGCAATAATAGAACATTACGTTTTTATCATTTGTAATACATAATCATCCAAATTAACAATCAGAAATATGATTTCTGTATCATGAGCATTGCTTTTTGAATTTAATGACATTGACTTATGACTATAAATTGAGGGCCTTTTGATTCAGATAAAACCAGCATCCTAAATGTGAAATCTATTTGTTTCTTGTAAATACAGAAAAAGATCTGTTCAACTTTTAAAACAGTATAGTGTTTTGCAGCTCGATTCAGTGTCAGTTTATTAGTTCTTAGAAACACCCCAGATCCAGTTTTTTAATGAAAAATCTGATCAAGTTGTACAAAAGAAAATGACATTTATTTCAATCCATACATGATATATTAGGTCTTACTGTACCACTTACTTAAATTTTCACGTCACATGTTCTCATGCATCACCTGAAGCTCTGATAGACACCATTCTAGCCTCTCAGAATATCCAATACACCACACAGGAAAGACATTTGTGCTACAGTATGTAGGCATGGCTTGGCCAGTCCTGGCTCCTTGGTAGTTCTCATTTTTTCCTTCCCGTCTGCCCCAGAAATCACAGTTGTAAATGAGTCTTTGAATCCAATTCCTAAAACATAGTTCAGGTTCCTGGGTGTCTCTGTGCCAGTCCAAGCCGTGGTCTGTAAGCTGGTTCCAGGCAGCCTGTGCACCTTTAGCCAATGGTGACCCCAAAGCCACACTGGAACTTGTTTTTGCGGTGGTTGAGGAAAGCCCCCAAAGCCAAGGTAAGAGGAAGAGGTACTAGTTTCTTTTCCAGGGTTGCCCCAACCACCCAATTACTGTCAACTGTTCCTACGAAGTCAAAAAAAGGAAGGTACACATTGAAAACATGTTTCTTGTTTCACAACTAATGTCACAGGAGGTGAGAACTGCAAACCTTTATATTTACCTTTAAAAAGCAAATTGGCTTTGGGAACGTCCAGCTGGTAACCAAAGGATGTTGTGGTGTCTTGCATCCTTGTGCTGGCTTCAAATTCAACTCCTACCTGCAACTGTCACAGTGAAGTAAAAGGATATATTACAGTCATGTTACTACTACAACCAAGAGAATATGAAGGAAATTTTGTTTTCTTTTCTCAATGCTGCTTTACAATGAAGTTTCAGCACAAGAGTCAAAGGCCTGTTTGGTGCACAAAGAGATTTTCTAGAACTTTTTAAAATCTCAATTCAAGGTTCTGAATCTGTAATGCATGTCCCACTTGCTACTGGGTACCACTAGCACTTTAGCTCCCTCTGGTGGTAAGCATAGGGCTGGACGATATGGTTCAAAAATAAAATTGAATTTTTTTTCACATCGAGTCAGATCTTAGTTGATTTTGTTTTTGACCTGATGCAAGCTGCTAAAACCTAAAGACTGACTTGAGAAAGACTTTAGAAGAAGTTGTTGGTGTCAGAAGCCTGTGGTGTAATATTTTATTATAGAAAATAATCTTCATATCTTTGTATTTACATTGCATGCATGTAAATACAAATAAAGCAAAAGAGCTGTACACACAAACATATGATCAGAAAGTGTTACTAATATTCAGTACCTGGTCGTTGGCTTTGTGATAGTATGTAGCATGAGCTCCAGCACCGCCCACAGATAAGGTTGCAACAAATTTGTCACCTGAGAAAAAAATAAAAACAAAAATGTTGTTCAATAGATATGTTTACAATTATAGACACACATCAGGTCTGCTTTGCAGAGATTAAAATGCAAAAAGAATATTTTTACCTGTATACCTCCCTAAGAGAGATGTTACGGTTCCTTCCTCCCCTGGTCTCCTGTGATAAACCAGTTCTCCACCTAGAACCAGTGCTGGTGTAACTGACTGGAGATAGTGGGCCACCACAATGCCTGGGATAAAATCATAGTAGAATGAGTTAAATGTATAGGTCATGTACATATTTTTTTCAATAGGAATACTTTTTTCAGTTCACTCATTTTTTTGTTTCTTCTATGAAGAGCATATTCGAGCATTTTTGGGAAAAATTTGATAAAAACTAAATTACATGTTCTTCAGCTATTATTTTATTATGGTTTGGGAGTCACATGTAAGGGGATTTTTCTATTCTGAGCAACTTCTTTTTGTTATATAATGCAGCAAGGTGGAATAATTTAAGATTTTTTTTGGTCTGAAATGTTCTAGCAATGTTGGTGTCTGTAGTTCACCATGAGTATTGACACATTAATAAATGCATTAGTTTCTAAATGTTTTTAATCATACACATTGCATTCTGATGGACTTCCTTCATGACCCTAACAAATACATACCAGATCCAACAAGTACATCCGGGTTTCCGAGAGTCACCGCAGAGGTGAAATCTTGACCGCGATACTCAAAGTCACACTGCCAGTTGACAAACTTATGCTGCTGAGTCTACAACAGCAAACAAAAACAACACAACTTATAAATCTAATTGACAGGGTGAGAATTTATCAAATGAAAGCAAATCTCGAACCGTCTTACACACCTGCATTGCTATTTTGGACCGTACAGCATTTGTGAGCTGGTGGATGACTTGCGCATTCAGACTGCCAGTGTTGTCCATGTCACCAACTATGACCGGAAAAGACTAAGAGCAAAAAATTTTTCTTTTTTTTTTTTTTTTTTAAACAGATGTTTTGTTTGTTTTTTTAATGAAAAAAAACTACAGCATATTAAACAATTATGTAACCCAAAATAACAGGGAACAAAATTAATTACCTCCGCTGGTCCAGTCTGTTTACTTCCAACATATGTCGAACCGAATCTATATCCAGAATCACCCAGGGTGCTGAGAGTAATAGTGTGGCTGACTTGGAAGTGGTTACTTAAGCCCTTGTTTACTACTAGCCTCACCCCTTCCATCTGCATGGGGAAGACCTCTAAAACAACAATAACCAGAAATGGTTATTTAAACAAATATTTGTCCAGTTTAAATAAAATTAGTCCAGAACTAATATCTTATATTAAACTACTAAATGTACACGTCCAGACATTAGATCTTGTTACCTTTACATTTCCTGTGACACTCGTCATATGTGCCAGGGTTCTGGAGTGGTGAATCTGCATCCGCTTTCTGCTGGTCAGATTCGGGTCCTGGAGGGATGGAAGACACTGGGGGCATGGTGAAGCCTGGGGGTACGGCGACCAAACCCGAGACCCCTTGACCACCAGCTGGAGCTAGGGCCGGACTGGGTGAGGCAGCAGCCAACACACTGCCCATGGTCTAAGACTGTAACAAACTGCAAGAGCGACAGGCAGGGAATAAACAATATTTTTCATCATGTTACTTATATCAGTGGTATTAAAGCGCAGAAAACAGAACTGACAGATTTAAATATCTATGAACACAGACACGTGTTAAGCACCATTAGTGAGCTACGGATCTGTAGTTGCAGTTTAGTTTTTGCAACAGTTGGTTGCAGTTTCAAAAACTCCCATTAATAAAATTAAAATTTGTTATCCATTTTTTTGTATTCCTTTTAGAGTCAAATTTGGAGCTTGCTATGGAGCGCTTTGTTTATATGATTTATCTGAAGTTTTTCTTTTGTTTCTTTTCTTCTATTTCCACTAGTAACTAAATAGTCTCTTCAGTGTGCTTATTGGTAAAAGAAATAACAAATTTCATCAAGAACTTGAAATAATTTTTTTCTTTCACTTGAAGGATAGTTATTCAATTAAATAATGTAGGAAAAACGTTTTGTTTCAAGGTAGATTATTCTTCACCACTGCTTTGAATATAAGATAATCATATTCTACCTCAATAAGGAGCATGACAAGACATTTTTAAATCTGTTAGCTAAACGAGATAGACCATTTGTTTTAAATGATTCTGTTAATAATGGGAAAAAATGTTTTTGCGTCTCAAAATTTTCATTTTGAAAATTAGGGATAAAACTGCCCTGGTTTTCAAGTCATAAAATACGGTGGATGTTTTACATACATGATCTTAATGTCCTATGAGATTTGTGCTAATGCGTCTTTAGATTAGATGTACTACTGAGATAGGAAACTCAAAAATGTTGCCAATACTTCCCAAAAATCAATTCTAAACACACTTCCATTAAATTCCCACGTTACACTGTCTGCAGCACTACCCTGTTGTCCTGTACTGGCTGTAATAGTAAGGCAGGCTAATTGTAGCAAAGGCCCACTCTGGTCAAATTCCACATATAAAACACGGATGCATAAAAAGAAGTGATATCACATGGCAGCATGAGGCATTTTTAAAAGCGGGCACACATGAAGATTAACACACAGATGAAGGAAACTATCAGAAAACTGTATTTCATCTCCCAAGGCTAATGTAAGGTAACATGGTTGGTGTTAGCTAGTTGGCTAGGTAGCCATGTGGAGGCAACCACGAGATGTCTTCGTTTACAAATGGCCAGCATGGCTGTTTAAAATACTAGCGCTGGCAAAGAGACACTATCTGCCACACTCAAATTATAACACCCATATGTAGTATTAAAATGCTGCTACTCACAAAGACGAACAGGGTCCAGGGGGGTAGTTGCAAACCGGTAAAGTTCGCGACAACGTCCGTGAACCGCACTTCACAAGCGCCCACCCATTATCCGCTTCTGACTTTTGGATTGGCTGATGGATTTTATTTAAATAGCGATTGGCTGAGAGAGATAGACTGGGCGGGCTCAGTGTTGCTGACGTATGGTGAGGTTCATTCGTTGAACGTTGGATTATTTCAGAGTCGCACTGAATGACATTCCAAGGGTACGCCTCGTTTAAGTTCCTTTGCACACTTGTGAAATTGCAAAGCTTGTAAAGCTACATTTCAAATTTCTGCATCTGGTGCCCAAGTTTTATTCCAGACATTTGAGGCTGGTAATAGCAAAATGTGAGAAAAAGATTTAAAACAGGTAAATGTAAGAAGAGTTAAATAGAGGAAGCATTCAAAGTGAGACAAATCATGGATAAGAGCAAGAAGGAGCAAGGGATTGTGGGTCCCGCTTAAATAAAATACAATTCAACAACCTCACTGCAGATGTTTTCTCTTTTTTTTTAACAAAATAGAGAGTTACTCTGTTGTATTGAAGAAATCACTTGCACTTGTGCATACTGGTTATCTGAATTTAGCACAACAATTAAAATTTATTTTTAAATAGAAATCTTACACCTATCAAAAGCTTGTTGCAGAGGTGCATATGTGGATTGGGGCATAAAAACTTAACTAATCCTCAATGCACTACATCTGGTGGAGGGATGGTATGAATCAGCAGGTCCTTTCCTGGAAAAGCATGGCATTTAGGATCACCTTCACAGTGAACAATCAAGATGAAATTCTGGTGCCAATCTTCTCCCTACCATCCTTTAGACTGAACTCCATTTTCCAACATACAGAGTGAGGTTGATCAGAAACTACCTCTGATTGAAGAGGATGAATCAACCTCAAACCAGACCTTTGAACTGGCAATCCACCAGTTTCAGGACAAATTCCTACCTTCTGAGCTACAGTCATCCTTATATTGCTACTAACTATTTTGTACAACTTTGTTCATATCCCTGTGTGTGTTATGTTTGCTTCTGCTTGTTTCTTTGCCAAGCAGCATGTGATACAAGCATATTTTGACCCATATTCAGTCTTGGGCATGTTATTTACAGCTGTAAGGAACACGGCTGTTCACAGACAAAGAAAAAGCTGTTGTTTTTGACAATGCGTTTGGTCAATGAAAATATACAAAATAATTATTTTCACATAATAAAAACATAATATGAAAACCTGTTAAATGTACCAAATGGGCACAACCAAAGTATTTTATAATGCAAAAGGGAAAAAAAATGAACCAGTATAAAATGCTTGCAAAATACATCAATCTAATGAGGATGGGAAAATATTTAACTGTAGTCAATTCCACTGCTATAACCTGGTCTAGCCACTGACCTTAAGTGATTATAAAATTAAAAGACAGAAGAAGAGTTTCTGAATGAGTTAATCCTTTTGCAAACATGCTGTGAAGACAGCTGGCAGTCTGTGTTTATCAGCTTTGTTCAAATCTAACCTGACTATTGCTGAGAGTTTAGAGAGGCCAGCCGTTTAAATCTTGTAAAACTAAAGGTAATCTTCTTGGGGAAAGAGGACACAATCCATTTGGAATGTCCTGCGTATTTGTTCCCCTCAAAGATAGATATATGTACAGTTCTTAGCAAATAATAAAGGAGTTAAATGCAAATAAAAATAGTTTTTGTGTAAAATAGTTATTCATTGACCTTAAAAATATTAAAGTACAAAATGATTTAGTATAATATCACATTTCTGGAAGCACTGGATGATGGTGGTAACTGGAGCATCCAGTTTTGTCAGATTTTATAGCCATGTTGATCCTAGTTGATAGAAACATGAACATAAAGCCTTTATTCCTCTTCAAATCAATTCTACTTTTCATGAGTAGTTGTATTTATTGTGTTGAATGGTTGTAGCATTTAATCTATGTAAAGTCCAGAACATTTACATGTTAAATTGTAGTCCCGTCATGCAGTGTCTAGTACGTGTATATATCAATAGTTCTAACTTGATGAAGTTTGAACCACTGAAAAAAAAAAGTCAACCAAGTTTATAATATCCTTTTAGTTTTGTATGGCCAATGACTTATTTCACTGCCACATCATTTCATAAATGCAACAGTAACAACACAAATGAAAATGTTGAACAAACTTTATAACAAATAGTCAATAACTTTTGACAAGATAGAAAAATAGATACAGGCATACAAACAATAACACTGAAACAAGATACCATTTCCAATCTCACTTGCTGAAATACAGAGGGATTTGTTTCTTTACAGTCAGTAATGAAAGCAACATTCACAAAAGGAATACTGGGATCTTCAAATAAACTTTGCAGCCCTGTATGTTCTTTAAAGCCTCTTTCATTTCCTATTATGTTAAGTTTATGGTCAGATATGTATCAAAAATAAAAAGGCAGGAATTCCGATTTCATTAACAATTATTATATATATTTTACAAATATGTGCAAGTAACTAAAAGAAAAAAAAATCTTCTACATTCAAGCTTGTTTACATGCAGTTTCCCATTTCTGTTCATGCCGACTGGAAAAGAGGAAATCTTCATTTTTATGTCAGCATTACCCAGAAGTTTTATTTTTATATTCACAAGATATATGTCAAAAACAGCAGCTGTATGATTTGAACATGCCTTGCCAGATGCCTCATCTGGGAAGGCATTAAAAGCTCAGCGAAGGCCACATTTGGGATGTGGTCCAGTGTTGAGTCTAATGCTGATATTTTCCAGTTTTTCCTCATATGAGGCAATTTCTTTGCTGAATGCCCTGAGTTTGATGATTAACTGTGTGGAGGTAGTTGTGAGATCCACTGGAAATATTGCACTGAGCTAGAAATAGTGCAGACGAAGTCTTTAGGGGATGGAAGCACTAGAAAGGAAGTTGTGTGGCGTAGTTGGAGGTGAAGATCCACGACTGTGGTTTGAAGAAGGGGATCCTAAAAAATTGAAAAAGGAAAAAATGAGGAACTGAGGAATTTTTATTGACTGTGCACAAGTGTCTTTGTTAAATGTTCACCATTTTCCATATAGCAACTCTTGATGCGGTGACACCGACACACAAGGCTGCTCTTGAACTCTGATCTGCTTGGATCCTCTTCCTCGTAACACATCTGTTATCTGCAGAAGATTTTAAAACTTATGATAGTCTTTGTGCCACACTGGTATAAATACTTTTAAAAACAGATTAATACAAGTGGAGAAAACAGTTTGGCCTCTAGAGGGAGGAATGCATGCATTCTTCCATTTTGGCTCGAACTTATTTCCACTGTTTAAAGCTGAGTTGAGTCAACTTGGTTTTGCAATTGTTTGTGTTTGTTCTGATGTAACTTTAGTGAATAGGTGGGATTTTCCATCTTGAAATTATAGTGAGACATTAAAGTGTAAACAAACACACCACTGGAGATCCCTCGGGGGTTTTCCTGTTTTCATGAAATGAGACTTTCCTAAAAGCAGCAAAACAGAGTTTTAAAAAATGCAGTTATTTTCTTACTTTGTTATTCTTGGCCACCATCACTGGCGTATCATTGTGGTAGTTCTTGAGACTACTGTCTGCTCCGCTCTTCAGCAGCAGCCGGACGGTATCCACTTGACCTCGGCCACAGGCGATGTGCAGGGCCGTGTTCCCGCTGTACGACTGGCTGTTGACGTCACAGCCATTCTGTGAGAGAGAAACAACAGACTGATTCATAAAGAAAACCAGACTAGATGATGCTCAACATAAAAAAAGCAGGTTGGTTTAATCATAACAAGATAAAATAGAGAGAGTAGTTTCAACAGAAATGTGATCAAAACGGAAAGAAAAATCCTCATATGCACAGTTCAGCAGGTAAATGCAGAGAATGAAGGCAGTCCCACAACATGTCGCCATTTAAGAAATACATGGCAACATGTATTTCTTAGAAATACATGTATATAAGCCAGAAGGAAATAAGCAAAAACAGTATAAGGTAAAAAGAGAAGCTTAAGAGAAGAAAAGCATTTATATCCATTTAACCTTTTCTAAATTTAGCTACATAACCACAAACTTAAATGTGTATTATTCAGATTTTAGCTGATAAACATAGCACATTATTAAAAAAAACAAAAGAAAAAAAAAACAATTCCTAGTTTTTTTTGGGGTTTTTTTGCTACAAATAAATATGATAAGTTGGTTAGAGCACTGCATTTGCATCCATACCCCTTCAATCTGACATTCCTAAATAAAATGTAGTGCAATTGACCTTTCTAATAATTAGTTCACTTCGAGCAGAATCTGCTTGTGGGTAATTTGATTTCAGTAAAAATACAGTAGTAATGTGAATGCCTCAGATAATGTCAACCACATCATAAAGACCCAGGAGCAAACCAGAAAGGGATACAGCTGTGGAAGAGTTTAAAGCAACAGTAAGTTATTGTCAAAATATGAACATATCAAAGCAACAGTTCTTTCACCTGAGCTATGGATTCCTGTAGCTCTTCCAGAGCAAAATAACATTATTAGACAGGCAACTATATTAGTACTCCACTGTGGAAGTGAGGCAAGGAAAATATCATTGCTGAAACTAAGTCCTAGAAGTTTAAATTTACCACAACCCAGATAAGAGACAGCACAAACATTAAGAAGGTTTAGTCATACAAGTCTTCATTTTTCTTTCCACCTTTCATGCACAATGCCATGTATGTCAGAAAACTAGCATTGCAAACCTAAACACACCATCTCAATCATGAAATATGGCAGTGGTAGAAACATGCTATGGGGATTATTTTCGACAGGGGCAGGAGAGAGAGAGTCAGATGAGAAGAGTGGTAGATGTAAATGCATGGCGAAAAACTTGCTAGGCTGTGATAGGAGTGGATGTTCATCTTCCATTGGAAAAACAATCCTGAACATTCAGCCAGGGCTGTTAGGGAAATGTTTGGAATGCAGTATATGTATGCTTTAGAAAGGTGCTGTCAATCTTTAACAAGACTTGAAAACAAAACTTTTGACCAACATTCTCAAACCAATCTCACCATGCTTGGATTATTTTGCAAACAAAAATGGGCAAAAATCTTTGCTTCTAAATCACTCAGTTGTAATTTTGAATGAAATCTTGTGGAACAAAGCACTGATTCACGGGGCTGAACGCATATGAGTTTTATTTTAAAACTGTGAATCGGGCGTGCTATGATGGCGTAGGGGGTTAGAACAACCCACGTATGGAGACCTTAGTCCTTGACGTGGCCGTCGCGGGTTCAACTCCAGACACTGGCAACATTTGCCACATGTCTTCCCCTCTCTCCATCCCCTCTTTCTACTTTCAAAAAATACAGGCCACTAGAGCCAACAAAAATCCTCGCAGGAGAAAAAAAAAGAAACTTGTATCATTTCCCTTAAAATTTTTGTTCCATCACATAAAATTTTACTAAAACACATTGAAGTTTGTGGTTGTAACAACACTAGATCTGAAAAAAGGCAAGGGGCTTGGTACTTTCTTCAGACACTGTAGCTGTGTCACCAACCTTTCCCCCCTTGTTTCAGTCACCATAAAGCATAATTACCTCAATGAGGAAGTGCACCATATCTGCATTATTGCTTTCCACAGCATGCATAAGAGGACTCTGGCCACTCTTAATGTCCTGATAGGAGGAAGAATAAAAAAACCACCATCAACATGATAGTCAAAAAACAAAGATACTTGACACGATGACCTTTACAAGTCGTTTAACCCACAGTACAGAGTTTGTGGATCTGGGACTGACCATCGCGTTGATGTCTGCTCCTGCATCCAGCAGCATTTTTGCCAAATTTTTATGGCCTTGCAGCACAGCCAAATGAAGAGGACTCAGACCTGAGGACATAAACAAGTAAAAATTCAGGTTGAAACATTTGGCTCACTTTTCCACCTTTAAAAATGTATAATTCACAATAGTATAAAAAAAAAAAACAACAACACGAATTGAAGTCACAAGCACTGCTTTAATGAATGCAAGTGGCCAGATATGGTGCTATTGTAATGATGCGAGTACACAGTCAAAATGATACCATTTACCTAGACTTGTAGTAACTGTCATGCAAGCAATGTTTTCGGTGCCGTGCAAATATTAAGACATGACAGACCGAACAGACTGCAGAGTAAGGAAATGTTCTCATCCCACCTACATAACTTAAAGCTTCCAACCCCCACCTGAAAATAAAATGACCTTTTTTACCCCCCACAAACTGTAATGCACAGTTGAGGGGGTGGTTTGTGTTTTTTCAGGTATACTCAGAGCAGGTGAAAGCACCAAGCAGCCGTGGGAATAGAGCCAGACTTTAAAAAAAAAACACTACACTACAAATAGTAAAAAACAGCTAAAATCAGATTAAATTAACATTTAATTCAAAAGTAGAAACAAAGCATTTCATATGTTTAAACTACTGATGCTACAAAAAGGTTTTCATGGCAGCAAGTAATTTATAAAGTGTGGGAACAGAAAAAAGAAGGACTGAAAAAGTTACGTAGAATTTTACAAACAAGCACACATGAGCTCACAAAATCCCTTCATGGAAACAGTTATCTTAAATCATTACCATCATCATCAATAATTTAAATATATTTTTAAATGACTGGAATTGGATTGCCAAACTAAACTCAACTCTCAAAAGTTTTGTTGTTTGCTTTAGCCTCCACCAAAATCCCCAAGAGCTGTTCAACAGGCATAATAAAACAAAAGTTGTTTTTGAATATATAAACTATTATAGGTAGGCATGTTATTTTGTGACTTTGCTGATCTGGGTTTTCCCCAAATAATTTCAACCTTCAACAAAAGTTATTCTATCATCATCATGTGATTTTAAAACAAACAAGAGACATGTTAGAGTTAGCCTAGAGCTCAGCTAAGAGATATCACCAGAAGGTAAGACATCATTTTAATGCTGACTGTAGTTATAAAGGTTACAGTAAAAATATGAAAGTATGCGACTGTCACACAAAACAAACACTGCACAACATCATATGTTAAATGGAAAATGATTATATCTATGTGGAGTAATACTTATGTTCTCACCACTTATATTTATTAAATCTAGTGAATAATTGTATTGTACTTTGAAGCAATAGCAACAGCTGCTTAGCTGTCAAGCATATAAACAGCATTTGTTTTATTTATATAATAAACTGGGACCTAGTATGGGTAAACACCTATTCCTAGAGGACTGATTCATATCAAGCTCAAAAAATCCTGATCAGGAAATCTCTAAATGGAATGTGCCACAACTAATTACATTAATAACAAACAGTTGGAAAAGTGAAGACTTGACCAACGGATCTCATAAATGTTTGATATTTTATTAATTTTACCCTGTATTGAATGTGTATTTTTCACAGATAAATTGTATACATGGAAAATCGCTGTTCTCATTGAACACAATGTTAAAGAAACACCTGTAAGTGAAATATCAATATTCACGGAGAATAATATTTTTTTTTTTTTTTTTTTAGAAACTGCATGAAGTAGAGACCACATGTCACAGCATCCAATTAGGAAATGTTATTAAGAGAGGTGGTGATGCAACGGCGCTTCCATGCATATGGCTTTGCTTAAAGCAGAAGAGTGTACATCACAACTCACCTTCAAAGTTTCTGATTTCCAGGCAGGGTGAAGATGAGGAGAAAGACAGTAGTACAGGTAGGCATTCGAGCAGCTGATATTCACAGCAGAGATGGAGTGCTGTTTGGCCGTGACGGTCCAAGACAGCAGGGTCGGCCCCTGCTCTCAACAAAACGTCCACCATGTTTGCTTGCTTGGTTATCACTGCCAGATGAAGAGGAGTCTAAAGGATAAAAACATTCAGTTTAGATAATCCAGTGTACACAGTGCATGAAAGTAAAAAGTATTTTGCTTTCCCACAAAATACCAACATTTTTTAATTCTGTTGCACACTATAGAAATTTCCAATTTTATATTTTATTCTGACTTCAAAGTAATACTTTTTTCTTTCCTACATTTGCTGTTATAAATACAAATGCTATGGCTCACAAAAACAAAGATATAACCACTAATTACTCTAAGGTGTCAGAAACAAATACTACCAAAAGATTGTCTGTCTGGTATTAGAGCACAAGTAAAATATCAATTGTGACATTTAAAATCCATATGAAAAAAAAAAAATTTCTTTTGGAGCAGAATGGCTTATATAACTAATATCTGTTATTGTAAGTGACAGCTATAAAACTAAGTTCCAGTTAAAGAAAAAAGAAAATATAAATTGGCAGTTAATCAACATTCCATGTTTTTTTCTGTATCCAATATGCAAAATCCAAAGACAATAAATAAAAAGTATTGATGGAATATTTGATTTAAGTCCTTAATTATGTTCAGGGCCTTTCAATGATATCATCAATAAAACAAATGGCATCATAGTCAACAATCCCCAGAGAGGATTCAGTCTATTAACATACAGTATGGCAATGGCATTACTAACCCTAATCCCTAAACCCTAAGGCATCATTCCTACTATTGCAGCTGAATACCACAATGCATTATACCATAGTGCATTGTGGTATTCCATGACAATGTATCAATATATAGATTTTTAATAAGCGAACACACTGAGAGAAGAGCAGTATCAAAGTTGGTTAGTGGTAGCAATTGGTGAGAGATAAAAAGCCTTCTGAACTACAGGAAGGGGGTTCCCCATCTTATTGTGTATTCAGCAAGCAGATGGGCATAGTTAGTTTCAATCTAGTAATAAAATGTATGATTATAGACTATTAAAATAACTATAGTCTAATATTTGCAGGCTCTTTAAAGCCTGAATGATTTTGGAACTAAACTACATTTAGGTTTATTTTTGCGACACCAAAGTCCAATCACTGCCATTAAGAAACAATGAGCTGCAGCTGCCTATTCCTGAATATAGACAAATACACTTGGCTAACACACCCATTTTAAAAATAGATAACAGGATGGAAAAAAAGCAACTCAGCTGAATGGTTTAGTGATAGGCCTTAGTCCTTTCAAAATGACATAACTTCTACTGATATATACATCAGCATAGCATGAATCAATTGTGAAGCCAATTAGTGTGCCATAATAATAACTTACGAGGAGGAACTTGTTCACAACTTCATGAGTCGTCTTACTTGACACCATGTTTGATCGCCCCAAAAATACAGTGAATCTTCTGGCCATAGTGTGAAAAAGTGAAAAAGTTGCATTATTTATGTTCATTCGTACAGAACGGATACATTTATGAACCAACTTGTGCATTCTTTCTTTAGACTGACTAATGGTTCTAGTCAAGGTTAAAACCGATAATATCACATGGGAAAAGTTGTTATGGAAAATCAGCTCTTCAAGTCTGGATCCATCTAAAATGACAGGTCGGCTTACAAAGCGTTACTAATGTATCTGTGCTGTGTGAGCCAGCAGTTTACAATCTAGGCACTTTCTAGATTGTTTAAGTAATAGATTGTAAAACAATCTAGGAGGTGCATAGGTGCACATCCGAAGCACCTCTAGGGTGTGCCTAGAGGTAATCATGAATCATCTCATGATGACCAGAGGAGCAAAGGACACATCAATCAATTCCAAATGTGTCACAAAGGGAAGTCTTTCATAATGGGATTTTCAGCTGCTATTCAAAGTTTTACAAAGATGAAGCAATTGGGATGAAACTGTTGCTCAAAGTTTCACTTTTGTTGTATTACTGGTGTGTGTGTGTTCACGCGCACTGCCTGTGTGTTCCAGTAAAGACTATTTTAAAAAATTTGAGCTATGGAAGAGCCAATTTTAGGAATTCCTCCTTTGTGTCATTGTAATGTTCCTCTCTTCAACTCTTGCTTCTCTGAAGTCTGACTCATATTGACAGATGAGCAAAGATGTGAGACCATTTCCGAAAAAGTTTTACTGTAGCTTGCAGCATTCATTTGACACCACATTGTGTAAAGACACTTCTTCTAAGAATAGTACTCCGATTATTATAACTTTGCGAATTGTATGTGATGCGTCCAACACACACCTGTTGGTCAGGTAAATCATCATGATGTCAGATAAATTTTAGCTGATATAATCAGAAAGTAGGTCAAGCCATCAGTTTCACTTTCAGATTCAAGCATGTAGCATGCTAAGGTCAGTGAATCTTCTCCAGTGAATAAAGTAGGGCTTGAATGGAATAGAATGCAGTCATATTCAATACATTATGCGTGAAGATGTTGCCTAAAAGTGTCTTTTGAAAATGGTAACCTTTAACCGGGCATTAACATACATTAAGCCCACATTCACAATGACAATGTGAATGTGCGCAATGTGAATGACAAGGTTTTTCTTTTTATTGGTGTTATGAAACATTCTTACCTTAAATGCTGAAACAATACCTCGAAAGATTGATTATTAAAATTCCTTGAGGAAAATTTAGCTGGTTCGAAGCTTCATGAAATTATGTTTTATTATTTAACACACCGAGTTCCAGTCAGAACATTATTTGCGTTGCGCGGAGCTCCCACTTCCGCCTCTGAGTTGTTAACGAATGTAGTGTCAGTGGCATAACATCCAGTTTTCAAGTTTGGCCATGGTGATTTTATTAATTGATGATAATGCCTGGGTTTTCATCATTTTTTGGGGATGACTAAGCATCCTTAAAATGACTGGCATGATGCCTGGAGTACAGCAGCCTTTCTCCTCCCGGAGCTGCTGGTTCAAAGCGAACAGCTGGAAAAGCGATACAGGAGTATATATGCAGGTGAGCGGATAGACTGAACACGGTGAGCAACAGCGTAGTGCAAGTGTAGCTTTATGGACGAACCACACAATAAATTTCATATCATCTGGGTCTCAGCAAATGGGTGACGTAAATCATTGTGACGTTACATGGCTGGCCGATGAGTTTAAGAGTGTGACAAATGAAGGTGCCGTAAATACTCCCAAACAATACTAGCTTTCATAAATATTCTCTTTATCCAAAAATATTTCCTTGCATTACTTTTTACATTCTTTTCTGCCTTCCCCACTTTGTGACTCATGACTGTATCATAAACTGCTCACAAAATTATCTGTCTTGAATGATTCAGAGAGCAAATAATTCTGCAATCCTAAGCCTTTTATGGCCTTTTAAAACAAACCACAGAGATTCAGGCCATAGTTTCCAGTAAAAGGACTTCAGTGACTAAGCAAAACTCCTGCATTGATAAGACTTGAGGTGGAGAGGGAGAGTTAGGGTGGGGAGGCACAAGAATGAGGAAAAGAGGAAGCGGTGGAGGATAGTCCAGGGGAAAGACAGGATAAGAGGGAAAATCCCTTCTCTTTCCCTTTTAGTGTGTTCTGATATACAAACATTCCTGCAACATTAGCCAATCAACACGCATGACGGGAAAAGACGAAGAGAAAAGAGCTTTATGGAGATGAAAAACAGCCGAAGCCACAGGCAGTGCAAGCAGACGCAAACATAGAATTCAGCAGAAAGAGATAAAGGCCTTCTGCAGTGCATACTGAAGGGCAAAGTCAGTCATGTTGCACAAATAATCACACCTCTTACGTCAGTATCGTTGACAGTTATGCTGATAGCATCACACAGTTTATCAGTTCTGGTTAGAAACTGCGATCTTAAAAACATATACGCAGTAACAGATATGATAAAAAAACAAAACAAAACAAAAAAAAAACAATAGTGAGAGAGTGAGGCTGACAGACAGAGAAGCACGCGCAGGAAGGGAAAGTCCCTGTAAACTACCCTCTGAACCTCAGTGCAAGGTATGTTGAGAAACAGCCCTGAGCATTGCAGGCAGGGAGGGGAGGGGGGGTCATGTGACTTCTCGGAACAAGGATACTAAAAACACACAAACACACAGTTGTTTCGTTTGTGTATGTGCACGCACACACACACGCACACATGCAGACACACACTCTTAAGCAAGAAGCAAGCATGCCACCAACATGCTGTACACTAGCTGCACATTAATGAAACAGCATGTGCATATAGATGCATGTGTTAGAGTTGGCACTGCAAAGGAAATAACTCATTAATTCCTACCAATGTTACTACCATGCACAACATAATCAGCTGTCAGACCTTGCAGAAAGAGAAAAAAAACAAAGCTGTGTGTTTTGGTTAGCGCACTGATAGCATGACCGACGTGGGAGTATCAAACAGCTGGCTCCAAACCAATCATGTGAAAGGCAAATCATACACCGACACTTGCACAATTGTTCAACAACGGTACTGATAGTAACACTCTGTCAAAAAGTTCCAGATGCAAAACCACAGAAACCCAGGATTTGTCATCAATATTGGAAAAAGAGCCTGCATATTAATTTTGGTCTTTGGGAAGTTGCTTAATGCTGGAAACTGTGTCCAACTTTGTCAACTATCTTTTTTTTTTCTTTTGTTGTTTTGAAAAGTAAAAAGTTCCCTGGCCTCATTTAGATAAGTGCGTTCTTTCTGCCTGGTATTCTGTCAAAACCACAAAATCTGGTAGGCAAATGACTGTGATGGGACGTGCGCCTGTGAATCTCCCCTTTGGTTATAATTGCATATGACACGAAGAGTGTATGTGTCTGTGTGTGTATGCCTCTGCGAGGAGTGTGTGTGAGAGTGTGTTGCGTGCAAGCATTTCATACACAGGGCAGGCACAGGATATCACAAAACCTATACTGTCAAGCCTCAGTGATAAGGAAAAAGAACAACTGATGATAGCACCGGTATTATTTCTGGTAAGCATGCCTGCAGCGTCCTGTGTGGTGTGAAACCCCAGCCCTGAGAACGACAGCTCTTGCACAGCTCAGGTGCTTTTTTTCTGTTGAGGGATGAAAAAGACACAGCTGGCAGAGACCAGATAAGGAAGGCAATGAGGTTAAGACAACAAGGGGAGATAGAATGTGGAAGTATCGTCTTAAAAGACGTAGTTGGGAAAAGCCTGGATTGGGAAACACTCAAAGGTAATTCTTAGAGAATTTTCCGGTAAGCTCTCTTTAGGAGACTCAATGTTTCAGTGAAAGTGCTACAGTGTATACCATTTGTTGATTTGCATGAGTGCAAAGTCCAAAATTCCTTCCACAGTGTAAACAACAAAAAAAAAGAATTACAATTAATTTTTATAAAGGCTATAGGAAGATTAGCATTATCTTCTGACTTTAACAATGATAGGGCAGCCTACTTACAATCCCTAGAAAAATCTATTCTTGAGGGCAAAGTGATTGCAAAACAACTATGGGCAAAAGTATAATAACTTGGAATGGACATAAAGCACTTCCCAGCATGCTCGTTACTCTGGTTTATGGCAAGTACAGGTGGAATATCCAGGAAGGGTAAAATTTACCACACAAACCTCAGACACTATGCCTGGAAGAGAATTTGATAACACAGCACAAGCAAAGGAGGAAACCAAGGCACTTCCTCTTTTATTCTCCATTATTCTGCAGTTACTAGCTGATAGATATGTTTTAGATATTGTCTTATTTGGAAAGGTGTGGCTCCATAAACATTTGAATCATTGGAGCAATTTTTCACCACTTTACTTGTTAAGCTTTTTGTCCAATACAATTATGATTGCTGATCAGTAATCAGATAATTGTAATGATAATAACAGTATTATCATTACTGTTCAGAATTATTCATTAGATATCTAGTATGCACAGAAGAAAAAGTAAATGTTCCCAAATTCAAGTCAAGTCTTCTTTGAGGAGTAAGTCTAAGTTGAGGAGTAAGTCTATGGTAGGCATGTCAAATCCATTTTCAACTCTTTATGAGGCCATTCCAAATTAAGTCTTTGTGGAGCAAGTTCTTGTTGATCCTCAAGTCTTGAGAAACAAGTCTAAGTGAAGTCTCAGGTCTTTGTGAAGTAAATCCTAATCAGATCTCATTTCTTTTGCTCCAAAATCAGTGTGAGGTCAAGTCAATGCAGAATTGCGGTAGTTATGAATTCAAATCATTATCCTTACGTCTTATAAAACATATGGGCCATTGATATCTTTATTTTAGAAAATGCATGTCAGTATATCAAACACTGCTATTAACTGTTGTGATGTTTTGTTTTGTTTTTTAATGCTAGAAGCTGCACAGTAAAGCTGTGGTTAGCACTGCTGTCCTGCAGCAAAATGATTCCAGGTTCAGATCTCACTCTTGGGCATCTCTGGGTACTCTGGTTTCCTAGCACAAGGTGTTAGATTAACTGATCCATCTAACCTGCCCTCAGGAGTGAGTATATATAAGTAATATTGTTTGTCTTAAGACTGTGTTGCCCTTTGAAGACCAGTACAGACTGTACCCTAGTCATTACCCGTGAATGCTGAAGATAAGCAGTCATGATATTAAATATGCCATTAACATAAATGCATTGTTTCACCTGACGAAGATTGTTGTAGATATCGAGGCCTCTTCGAGCCAACCCCAACAAGGATGAGTTTGTGGACGATGGGCAGTTCCCCTTGAACCACAGCTATATGGAGGGCACTGCAGAGGACACAAACACAAATATTTTCACTCAGTAAACAAGTGCAACATTTCTGAGTACTCAACCAAGTTTCTGGCAGTTGTGTAAAATTTCAACAAATGTGGTCAATATTATACCTGTCACTGGATGATACATGATTACACGTTAACCCGGCATGGGATGAAACTCCAAAAATATTTTGTACTTTATTTAAATATTCTCACTGAAAAATTACAGCATCAGCCTAAAATGAGAATCAAAGAAGCAAAACACTGTAGCCTGTGCCATGGATGTACAAGTCTGACTCACAGTACTTATCAGGCCGACTTAGTGGGAAACCACTATCTGTGGTCTTTACGCGAGGCAAAAGAACACAGGCTAGAGTTCAAGACAGGGAAGGTGCAGGAAACTGAGAAGGGGGGAAGGCATGCAGTTGAAAAGCAGAATAGCTTTTTTTTCTTTTTTACATATTCTTTCTCATACTATCAGAAGAAACAGCTTCCAGTAAGAGCCAGATTTGTTTTATGTCACATCCTGTTGTCACTGTGAGAAGCACCATTTGTTTTTTTTTTCTCTGGCTTGCTTTGTGTGTTATAAAATCTAGCCATCAAGCTGCATGGTTTCTTATAGGGGCTTTCTGCAGGTTCGCACTGTCAGCTTTATGGATCAGACAAAACCAGTAAAAGACACTGAACTTCATAACAGGGAACTTCTCAATAAATGTACTGCCACAAATTGGTTTAATGGTGAAAAATGCTTTTGCACTTCCTGTCAATGATGAATTTCTATGATATCCATCTTTATCTCGTCAAACAGAATTATATTTTGTCTTCACTTGCAGAACAAAAAATAAAGCCAAATAATCAGAAATATGACTTGCTTATGCAGACACTTAAATCCCTAAATAAAGTCCAAGTGACTGGCTGCCTTCAGAACCTCCTTAGTAGAAAGAATGAGTATAATTTAACATGTGTACATTATGTGTTCAACTTCTCTATGCACTGTTCAATCCATCCTCTTAAACTACATAGAGTTTAACAAAACTGCTCAACAAACTGGTCGGTCAAAAAAAATCTTGATCAAAGAAGTAGCCAAAAAGCCTATGGTAACTCTGGGGGAACTGCAGAGATTCACAGCTCAGTTAGAATAATATGTCACCATCAAAACTACAAACTGTGGACTCTATAAAGCTGACCTTTATAAAGAAGTAGAAAGAAGAAACCATTGTTGGAAAAAAAAATACTATGGGAGCCCCAGTTTGGGACAAAAGAAACATGGGAAAAAGATACTCTGATTAGACGAGCCCAAAGCAAAACATTTTTGGTCCTCATGCATATGGTTGTTGTGTGGTAGAAAACTAACAAAACATCAGTTGTTCAACAGAACCCATTTCCATCGTGAAATACATTGGTCCCAGCATTGTGCTTTGGAGAACTTTCTTTCTGCAGGCATAGGAACATCTGGTTAAATACACCATTGGACAATAAAGGTGATACTGAAAGAAGACCTGCAACTATGCTGAGATTCGGATTGAGGGTCAACTTCCAGAAGGATGACCCTAAGCATACCAGAACTGAACTGCAATGCATTAGAATGGGCCAATCAAACTGGAAGTGCAACCGTTAAAGGCAAATACATATTTGCTCCTGGAATCAAAGCGAAAAGCAGAACCTTTATATGCAGAGTGAGAATGACGGTTCTTTCCTCAGTACATCCCTGTTCCTGTAAGTGACCTCAGCACTGTGCATCAACAGACTGTAAAAAAAAAAAAAAAGTTAAAAAAGTGTATTGCTCTTTCATAGTTTTGGTCAGTCATGGCCCAGCATTGTGGTGTCAAGTAGTACCAAACTGTTCAGGTATGAATCAAACGAGATTTGTCATTCAGAGCCCAGAGGAAAGTGCTGTGAATAAATAAATAAAAAAAACAGCAGCTGCAGTTTCACTGTGTGAATAAATACTGCATCAGAACTTGGCTCCAAATTCAGAGTTCACTGAACTGGGTGCCTTAACAAAGGCCTGAATTCATCCTGTCTTCTATATCTGCACCTATCTCTCTCTTTTTCTCCTAAGATGAAACTGTACTGTTTCTGCTTCCTAGAAGTGGGGTAGACTATAGCCTGAGGTAACCTCAGGCATAGCGGTACTGACGTAGACAGAAGTCCCAGGCCTGCTATGTTACAGGCAGCCAAAGTGTGTGTGAAAAAAATAGAAAAAAAGAAAAAAAATGAAAGATAAAAAAGTAGAAGGCTGAAAAAAAGGCAGCTTGTATGTGGTATCCTGTTTGGTGTGAAAGTTGAAGATACAGCCAGACATAGAACAAACTGAGTGTCCTGTGGTCTGAGGACCAGCTGAGTAATGATGTGATGCATCAGTTTGTGTAAATTGTTAAAGAAGGAAATTGGTGGTCCAGTTCACAAGAAAAGATGATTGTACAAAACCTCCTGTGCACATCAATGCTATAAAAAAATCAAGATGATAATTAAGTAAAGCAAACTTGTAAGAACAGTTCCAGTGAAATGTTAAAATACACACACCTTTTTTTATGACTTTGGGACACATTTGAACTGTTCATTTTTAGATGCACTGATTATACAATTTCAAGGAATTTCAAACTATAAACTGGATGGATAGATTTAAAAATGTATGTGAATTATTCATAATCCATAAATGGCCAAATTATTATACATGCAGACTCAAACTAAAGGGACATCTCCACTATCATTTGGTAAAATGTCCCTTAGAGAATTGAAACTTGACACAATACACTATCTTCATTATTCATCTAACATCATGCTTTAAAATGCCTGAGTCAGAAGGCTGATTCCCATACTAGCAGTAACTCAGATCTGCAGAGCCCTGGTAACAAAAAATGTATTTTGTATGGAGACACGGGGGTTATCATCTGTTTGTTTGAAAATGGAACATTGTTATTACCTCTGAAAAAATATGACAATGTGCTGTACTTCTCTGGGCTTAATTTCCATGCCCATGATGAAAATATTTACTCCATTTCCCCCTGAAGTTAAGAGTTCAGAACTTTGTGGGACTCCTTGGTAGTGAGGATAAAGCAGATAACTGTTACCAAAATGTACATTTAAAATTTCAAGGCAATATTCCTCAATAATCTTGCACACACTAACTGCTTCTATAAGTGGAACATGTAACGTGCTTTGTAAACTCCGAGTATAAGATAGTCATTTAAGTGACTTAAACTTTGGAGTAAATCAGTTGTTCGACTTAAATTTGACATCTCTACATCCTGAGTGCAGAAGACAGTGTGACACACAACATAAAAGGAGACAGCGAAAGAGAGAGAGGGTGCAAGATGGGGCTGATAGAAAGAAAGCGGTAAATGAGGAAGTGGGGAGCGGATGTTTGGGTTTTTTGAGCCCATTCATTTAAAAACACAGAGAAGAAAAAAGAGAGAGACAGACACCTGAGAAAAACCGCAATCATGTTAAAAACTGAGCTCTCACTGGCTTTCCCGAAACTAAAGGGCTCATTGACGTAAGAGCAGGCGTGAACACCATCACTCACATTATGCATGCACGCACAATCACACACACATTCGCATATATACAATGTGAAAAAAGGACAAGGGGATGAGAATGTCTCTTTCTGAAGAATTCAGACAAAGTTTCATGCAACCACAAAGTAACACGAACTGTAAAAGCACCACAATTACTTTAGCACAGAGGTTTGTCTGCAAACTGGAATTAAAAGAAGAAGGGATGGCAAGCATGCAAAATGTAAACCATTTAAAAGGTTAAACTAATAAGATCTATTGAGCATCCAATAAACTGCATTCTGCTTAATATTATTACAACCAACAGCAGATGTGCATGTAGAATATTTAGAAACCAGTATGCCACGGGATTAATGGCTCTTTAAAATCCTGGTCATCACATTTGTTTTGAGTGGATGCAAATTAAGTTGATCCTTTTTGAAACTGCAGCATCAAAGTGTCATTTAATTCTTGAACAGGCTTTGTTTTCAGTCACATGACTTTTGCCCGAGATTGCACTCATGCTCTTGTGTCAGTTTCTCATTTAACTTTGTGTGTGGGAAGGTGCTGAACCTGTAGACAAAGGCGGCTAGCCATGCGTTTAAAGTTTAGCATTGCATTCATGTGGTCTGAAGACTCTGTGCCCTGTGGACAGAATCATTCCAAACACCCTTACTCCCACACCCTGAAAGAATAGTCAGCCGACTGTTATAGAAAACAAACGCAATCGCAACAGAGTTGACAGCTCAAGTAGCTATAATCCAATACTTTGCAATTTTGCTAAATTTCTGCATGACATTTAATGAATCAACTACGATCAACATACAACTACTTTCCCTCATGGAAAGTTAAACAGCAGTAAAGAATTTGCCTGTATTTGACTGCAGTGTGGAAGCAGTACTGTCTGTACCCACTAAATACGTAAAGACAGGTGAGTCATTGAGGGTGAAACTAATAAACCGGGATGATACAGCAAACATTTTACATTTGCGTTGTGCAATATTACATTTTTTACTCATGAGATCACAAGGTTTTGCAGTGAGACAAGTCTACTTTGCAGTAAGTCAAATTTAGTGTTGAATTAAATAAAATAGCTTGTAAAGATTTAGTATCTGTGATACTAAACTGTTGTTTGAAGCAAAAATGAGGTAAACTACTTACTCATTCTGTTGGAATGGTCTGCTGTTGCAACAATAAGCATTAAGACAATATACGTTGTGTCTTAAATTACTTCTAAAAGCCTGAATACTTGGATCTAGTCAACACATACATGCACATGCATACTCCACTGTTTTTGAGTAAGCTGAACCACAACGTAAATGCAATGTAAATGCAATGCTTTACAAATATTCATCCTCTTGACTTTGGCAACTTCAATGTATTTTCAGGAGCTGTATGTTACTGAAGAAGAAACAAGAGTGTATATTTGTGAAGTAGACAAAAAGAAAACTTAAATCTGAAAAATGTGGCATTCATATTATGTACTTGTCTCTTTTACTTATTCTGCTAAATAAAATTAAATGCGACCTATAACCTTCATACGTCACCATCATCAAAAGTTAAAAGTGACTGTCACAAGAGCAAACTTAATAAAAACATATCAGTCCACCCAAACTGACAGGTCAGGCAAGAAGAGCTTTAAGAAACAGTCAGGAGATCCATTTTAACCCTGGAGAGCCTGCAGGAGACACACATCTCAGGTGGGAGACTGACGCCGCATCAACTATTGTGCATTTCAGAATGGCTGGAAGAAATGCATCGTTTTAAAAATATGTTATCTTTTGCAGCTTGTCCAAAACCATGTAATGGACAAAGAAAATACATGGAAGTGGAGAGAGGTTCTACTCAGAAAGATCAAAGTTAAAATTATTTAGGTTGACAAGAAAAATGCAGTGACTGATGAAATAATATATCCTGTATATGTTGAGATGTTGCATGTATGGTGTGTGTTTGTCACAAACATTCAACTGGGAGTGTTATTCTTTTAATGTTTTCACCTTTTCTAAGTTTTACTTTGCGACTCATTCACTGTCCTTCCAGTGCAAAATGCAATTCAAAACTTGAGTGGCCATGGATGCAAAATTGTATTAAACACAGATCTGAGTATTCAGTGAAACTGTCTAGGTTGAGAAATGGAGCTGGAACCCTTTGATAGGGTAAACAGACAAATACAAGTCAAAGCTCAAGACTCATGTACATTTTTCACTTCCATTAAAAATTGTAATTAGGTCATGTGTTTGTGGCTATAAAAACTAAATATGTTTGTTTTACTTTAGGTTTGCTTTGTATTTATGGACGGCATGCCATGCCCACCTTGTTTCAGAGTGGAAAAAAAAAAAAATTGCATTCAAGGTGACATGCAGCATTAGCCACCACCTATAAATGTAGGCCAAAAGTTCAAGACTCTGATGTGAGTGATACAGGCAAACACAAACTACCGTGTTTGCACTACACTGTAGAAAGCTAGCAAAGTCACTGATGCATGTGTAATGTCTACAGTGGGAATGACTCCTGCAACTTAGAGCAAAACAAACTGAATCATGAGAATCAAAGTAAGCTAACTAACTAAGATAACGAACAATCTGTACGAATCGTATCAGTATTCAAAAAGATCCAACTGCTTAACTTATCTATTACCATGACAGATGTGTTAATCACTGAATGTGTTCAGAGTGAAGAAAATTAAACAATTAAAGTCCCAGATTCTGAGGAGCTTTGAATCCCATATCATGCAAGAGTGAAACAAATTTTGCTTCCAAAATGACAGAGAATGATTTTAAAATAACAAAATGTTAACTGTTTTAAAATTAAAAACAGTTGAAACATACCATTTTATGACTCAATCTCTTGATCTCACATCATCAATGTATACTACATAAATTAAGGACAATGCATCTCCTCAGAGACGCGTAAAACTCTCGAATCTTATGAATCTCGCAGGCTCTTAGATCTGTTTCCTATGCCAACTTTCACTTTACACCACAACCGCCCATCTGACTTCATCTTCATCCTGAAAATCCAAGTTGGGAATGAATCATGGTGACATTCTCAGTTTACCAACAGCCCTGAGGACTTGAATAAAGGAATGATATGCTCAGTGATAAGTTGCACTGTAACCACAAATTCTGACACATCAACATACGTGTCTCCGTCTTCATCCTGACGTGTGGCCAGAGAAATTCCTGCCAGCAGGTTGTCAGTCTGATGGACTCGCGTGTGATGTGGCTCTGGAAAGGGGGTCAGGCACACTGGGTAGTGACCTGAGGAGTAATGGCAAAATAAGCAAAAACCATAAAAACAGAATTACACAAAGAAGATTAGAATCAGTGAAGAAAAAATTATGACGAACAAGTCTTTTTTGTAGTAAGGAAATGTGCATTTGCGGTAGGGTTGTGTGGTGTGTATTCATTTATGAGTTGACCCAGAAAGGTGATGCTCTTCTGTCAGTTGAGGAGTAATGACAGTAAGATGAATGGCTGCAGAAGAGCTGACTGGAGATTTTCAGATACAGAACTGCTGCATCAACTACCACTACGCTGGGAAGAAAAACTAAACTTTGCAATAACCTATGCCGGCAGGCTGTCCCAGAGCTCTAAGAACACCTGAGTCCATGATACATAATAAAGACAGAACTCATCATTTTAAAGCTATATGAACACTGTTATATTGAATCCTAATTTATTAATCTGTTGAAATTCAGACACACTGCAATTGTTTATAAGTAGATCAGTGATCGAAGGTCTTATTTTCTATTCTAGCTTGTGCACAAAACATGGAATTTCACCCTGATTCTCAACTCTTAAGGGTGTAATAATTATCATAGACTTAGCTGGAGATTGACCTCTTCTGCTCAGGACCTGTCCTGAACTCAAAAAAAAATATGTCACCACAAATATAGACCTAAATTGTTAAATTATGAGCTTTATCTGACTTTCCATCAAGTCTGACTTAGTCGTCTGTTTGTCTACCAAAGAAAAGCATACCCAAACCATAACTTTTCCAATATTTATCATTACTATTAGCAGTAGAAGGTAATGGCCAGAGTTTTTTTTTAACTCATCTGACCAGAGCACCCTATTCCAGAGCCCATGTAAGAACTTTGCAGCCCTCACATGGGCTGCAAAGTCCATGTGAGGGCTTTGCAGCCCATGTTTAATACATAAACATTGGCTTTTCACATGTTTAATACATAAAAAAACACATCAAATTAATGAGTGGGTACACAGGCATAACTTCCTGAAGGACTGGTGTGGACATGTCCCCACCAACTCTGGCATGAAGGCATCTGGCATCATATCTCATCTGCTGCATGCAAGTCAGTTATGCAAAGTTCTTACCAACCAGCTGAGGATCAGCTGTGGAGTCAAAATCACATAAATGAAAAGCACAGAGTTTGTTCTGACAAGGATTCATTTGGTTCACACATAAGTTACTTATGCTATTTTTGAAATGTTTAATAATATTTAGATTGCTGCAGTATTTTATGTTGTTGATGTTTTTAGTACTTGGTAAAATCAGACAATAAAAGGCAACTATGTGATAATTCTTCAAAAAACATATTACTGAATTGTAGGTAAGCATCCAGCAAATACAGGCTGATTAAATAAATTAGAATATGATTAAGAAGTTCCTTTGTCAGCAGTTCCATCACCAAGTGAAAGACATGATGCAGATCAATTAGATTATATGTTTTAACATGATTATATTTGTAGTATGTTTAATACCTGCTAAAAGATTATTTGCGAACGGTGCTGATGAGGATTATATCCTAATTTATTGAATAAGACTGTCTGGCATTCACATGTAAGTTTTGGCTTTATTCTTAGCACTAGAAAAGAAAAGGCAACACAAAGTTACATTGAGTGGGCATATCTGGCATGGGCTGTGTGTGTTTGGTGCAAGCTTGTTGTAAAAACTTGTTTATTCACCATGTTGGCAATTATATAGGAAATCTTACTGTTGATGACTATGAAATCTGAAAAATGGGCAAGACAGATTTATTCCAGAGCTTCACACAGTTTAGGGTTAAGAAAGACAGATTTCAGAGAAAACGGGGAAAACATAGTAATTATGTGAATGCTGGTCACAAGTGCTTACCGTAATTAATAATGGGCAAAATGCAGCAGGAATAGCCTTCCGGACTGGGAGCTACTTGGTCGGTCCGCCTGTGGGTCACCGGCGCAACGGCGAACCTGCTTTCATCCGCTGCTCTCTCCAAGCGACTATCCGCACTCTTCCGGACTTTCTGCTCCTCTGCGGGGGAAGAGCAGGGTGAGCTCGCCTCTGAAATCGGCGCAGCCGGCTTCTGGACCTCCGGTTCGACGTGAAACGTGCGCTTCCTAAAAGGAAGCTTCGATGGAGTCTTTGTGGGAGATGAGTCCGCTGCTCGTTTGCCGAGCAGAGTGCTTTTCGCGTCCGGGGAGCGGCGAACCGCTGAACTGTCCGTCCCGGTGCTCGCAGGAGGCGCAGGTGAGCCGCCGGTCGCGCGGGCGTCCCCGGCGCAAAAGGTTAAGTCCCCCGCGCTCCTGCGCCCTCGAGCTGTGGTGCTCAGATCCAGCGGCGCTGCGGCAACCGACTGGTGGTCAACGCTCATTGTAATAAGACTCGGCATCAACTGAACCAGGTTCAGGTGACAGCGCAACTTTGGCCACGTCCAGAGGAAAAAAAAAAAAACTAATTATATCAGACAAACCAAAGTGAGAAACTCCAATATCTAAAGGGAGGAAACGGGCGACGATCAAATCAAACCATTGCCCTGTTTCCCTTTTTGTCTCTGATCAGAAAAGCGCTCAGATGTTCAGACTCATGCAAATATACACGAAGGAAAAGCCAGGAGAACTTCTATCCCTGCGCACCTTTCTGAGCGAGCCTCAGAGGAGCTGCGCATCTGCTCTTAATGAACGCCTGTTTGACGCTGTGGGCCTGCTTTCGTTTTAAACCGAAACAATGAGCAAGAAGCTGTTAATTACACCGAGCTGGGGAGGAAAGGAGTTTAACGCTGCGCTGAATTCGTGGTAATTTTTTTGCATTTCCGTAGTCTGATTAACTGACTGTTTTGCAGACGAGTTCAAAACATTTCTTGAGAATTTAAAGCAGGCATGCTTGTCTTTTTTGTCTTTTTTCTTCTTTCCTTTTTTTTCTTTCTTTTTTTTTTTTTGGGAGGCAAGCAGGTGAGAAAAAAGGGAGACCAGTGCAGAAGCATGGGGACACAAAGCAACAGATTCAACACCTTATGCCATTTATGTAATGAAGGATACTGGTGGTCTTAATGCCAAGAATGAAATATTTTCAGCTAAGTTTCCTGCAAGTTTCCATGTACTGGATCCATTCCTACATACCTGACTGATTTGAAGTTATTTCCAGTACCATGATGGTACTGAAAGATAAACTTCCCGTCGGAAATTTTTATGTCCTCTTATGCTTCCATTAACATAATTTTGGACCTTTTGATTTGTATGTTATCCATCACACATTTTGAGTGTCTCGTGTTCATTACAGTAGCCCACTTCCATTTCTGAACTGATTTGATCTATTTTCTGTGAAAAACAAACAATAGTTTCCTGGCTGTAATGCATTACAGCTGATTTCATCTGCAAAAAACGCAGAAAGTCTTTGGTAACGGCTCAATCAAACTTCCACATTTACTTCTCCTCTTTGCATCTTATTTCTCCAAATGCCTTGTCTAATATTTTTGACAAGCCGTCTCTCTTCTAGCATGCAGTTAATTATGATGCATATCTGAAATCTGCATCTAACATTAGATTTATACATTTTCTGTTGCTTGGGTTTGGGAACACCACCAGCCTGCATGTTAAGCTTAGCTCAAGAAACCACAAACAGATGAACAAGGAGAGTAGCAAACAGTAGATGCTCCATGATGACTCATGAAGCATTGCTACTAGTCCTACTGCGAATTCACACCCAAGCAGACATAGTCTTTTTTTCCTTGTCTATAATCCTGTCTTACCCCACCCCTAGCAAGGTTCACATTACCTGGGTCAATTTGGGACTTTCCTCTTTCCACTGAAGTGTGGAGTGGGCAACGGAAAGTCAAGCTGTGTGTCTAAAGTCCCTGAAACACTCTGACACTATCAACACGTCCTGCAGCTGTCAGTGCACTCAACCATTGTGGTTAAATGTGGAATAATTTGTAATTATTTATCAAAAGTATACACTTGCTTGCACATTTACAGCCTGCTTACTCCTGAAAACACAACTCAGAGCCTACAGCACAATGCAAACCATAGAGCCCCAATGATCGTTCCATTCATACTGACTTTCAACAGAAAATATAATAATACTCCTTAATGTATAGGTTCATCCTTCAGCAGAGTGCATTCACAGAAAATCACAGGGTAACACATCAAAGTACATGCGAGAAATGTGGCCCTCTTGTGAGAGGACGAAAAAAGTGCAACACAGCTCTCAAATTACAGTGTGATTAAATACACACTGTGTATTTAATTATCTATTACATGCACAGATTGTTTTAAACTAATTTTGTACCTTTGAATTTATGCAGTAGGGTGCTGAGTGGTTTTTGACTGGCATTTTCAGCAGCAGGTGTTTTAACTGCGAGCAGTTTTATCGTTGCTTTGTTCTAAAAAAGTGAAAGGTGTTTCTTTTTTCCTTTTTCCCAGGAAAAAGTGCAGAGTTAATTAGTTGTTTTTAAATAACTAACTTGAAAAAAAGATGCTTTTAAATGAGTTAAATTAGAAAGCTTAACCTTTCTGGAAGCAACGGTTAAGTTGTTCAGCACAGGGCCATGAAATTTATATAGCAGTGATATATTTTTTTTGTAAATTAAATATTTTATTCATTAGCATTTTAATAAAAAAAAACAATTTACTACCTAAGTCCTGGTACAGCAACATATATGTATGGAATTATGCTGGTCAATATTTACAAATTCCACTGTAAGTTTGCTACACTGTATCTTTCTAAAGTAATACATAATAATTATGTAAGAGAAAAATGATGGAGGATTTTCAGCAATTTTCACAAATAAACTTCTGAAGAGAGTGGCATGAATTTGTACACAGCCTTCCTGAGACAACATTTCGTGTAAACCATTTCTTGTAATTGTAGCTTGAGGTCCCTTTGAGGTATGTCTTTAACTGACTGAAATAATTGGCCTCGCTTGTTTGAGAAATAGCAAAAACGCAGTCAGACTGAATTGGGAGCATCTGCCAAGAACAATTATAAAGTCTTGCCACACAAACTATCAGTTGGATTTAAGTCTGGACACAGAATAGCTTGTTGCATGTTTATGGTCATTGGCATCCTGCAACACAAACCTTCGTCTAAGTCTCAATGCTTTCGCAACATCGCACCGGATATGTCCCAGTACTTTGCTTCTTTTGGCTCTGTCAATTTTTCCATAATTTGTGCAGTTGTTGAATCACTGTAGGAGAAAGCTGAATGTTGTTCTCCAGACTTGGAGAGAACAGGCTATTTTTTTTTTACCAGGCCATTTACTTCAAACCACAGGATGATGCCACCTTTTCTCATGGGGAAGGTGTGTCATCCGGATGATCTGTTGTGTCAGTTTTCTGTGACACATAGAGATTCTTTTGGCTTCATTAACTGAATCTCTGCAGCTCTGCCAGTTACCATAAATTTCCTTCTACCTTTTTCCCTGGTTAAAGCACTTCTTGCCCCATAGTCTTATGGAGTTGAAACCAAAGGTTGCATATACAATACATTAAAAAGACAAATATATATTTTTCCTTATTTGATAGATAAATAAGTCCAAATTTTTCTCATTTTAGAGAAAATATATGTCAGATTTATTTATTGATGTCTTCAAAATCAGATCACACATAGAAAGATTACTATGTCTGTAAGCGACAAGGGAAAGTCCAGTTGATGATGTCATGGCTTTGGAAACTTCTGATACGTTAACTGACACGTTTGAGCTAATTGGAAACCAAAGACCTTGAGAGGATGCTGGCTGAAGCTGGTAAGACAGAGACATCATTTACAGTGAAATGTTCTGCACTAATATGTGCTGAAAAGCCACTAAGCAAGGAGGAAGCCATTACTGCAAAAAAAAGAGGGAAAAAAGCCAGTGTGCTGTTTTCAAATGCACACAAGGACAAAGATATCAATTTATGGAGCCATGTCTTGTGGTCTGGGAAAACTAAAGAGGAATTATTAGGCTGTAATGATGATTGTTACATTTACTGATTTACTTTTAAATCCTTTCTGAGTTGCACAAAATAGGACCATCAGGAAGTTTCACAGATATTTCCTAGATATCCGGTCAATTATTGAATAATATTGATTTTTGTGATTTCAGTGGGGGGTGGGGAGTTAAGGAATTTGTCAATACTAGGAAAACTGCTTGATATTAGCTTTCATTTGTGTCTGATCTAATTGGTCTATTTTAGGTGGAGTAACAAACAGCAGCCTCATGATGGAGCTAGAGGAACAGTAGACATGCGACCAACATCATTTGTATGGTGTGAAAATCTGCACCAATAAATATGCCATTCAATGAAAAACTGTTTTTTTTTTTGTTTTGTTTTTTCTCGTGGCAACATCTGTGTTGGACCTTCTGAAGGGTCATTGTCTGAATATCTAAAATTTTATATCATTGCATAAAGGCCAACTGAAGAACTTACAACAAGTTTCCTACTAACAGCTGAGAATATATGATGGTATTTTGACATGGTCATTATTGTCTATACTGGTTAGCCCTTGTTATCAGAAAACAATGTTCTATTCTTGCTCTCTCGGTGAGTGACTGCCTTTTGCTTTCATTCTAGTAAATCTTAGTTATGAGTGCACACCTTCCTGTTTACCTCAATCCCTCCCATCTCTCTCTTGCTCTCTCTCTGCCTCTCTTTCTCTCATACTCACTCTCTGTTTTGCTCACACTATCTCTCTCTCTGTCTCTTTCTTTCTATCTCTCTCTCTTTCTCTCTCTCTTTGTCTCTCTACCCATACTTTTTGCCTGAGCAACAGAGCAAAGAAAACAGACCGGTTTGTCTTACTGAAACCAGGAAACCAATCAAAGGCAAGACAAGTAGCAACAAAAAGGGTGACCTGAAGAGAGAGAAGAAGCAGCTCTTTTTTCACGGTGCTGCATGTAAATATACCTTCTCCATTGGCCTTGAGATTGTAGGATTGTTATGCTGCTGAGATAAATCTGGTAAGAAAAGTATGGTGTTAAAGAGTGACTCTGTGTGTATAGTAGAAGAGAGTAAGTAGGCTAAGAGGCACCCGTAAATGCTGCCTTTTTCTTGTTTTGTATACTTTAACAGAAGGTTGTGTAGTAGGCCTTACATTCAATTTTCTTTTCAAGTTCTAACACAGCAGTGTTTACGCTGGTCATAAGTGCTCCATTTTTTAGGATGTAGTAGTATGTGCAGTCCAGTACAAAACAGTGTGATGTGTGATATGGGTTGTGTGTTAGGTGGAACAACACCGGATGCTGTTTGAAGAGGATAGGATGCGGCGTTCTCAGATCTACTTGAGGACTCTCAAATATTATTGGACTGACTGCGAGTGCCAGTGTGATCAATCAGAAACCTGAACCATTTAAGCTTCAGCTCCACCCATGTTCTACTTATCAGTTCTCATGCATTCAAAACTGAACTTTGACATCTCATGACAGTTTAATATAATCTGGTTAAACGCCCTCCTATGCAGACACATACTGAAACACGGACGTTTGAGGTACTTTTTGCTTCACTTCACTTTCAAATACACAACCAGGATCTTTATGGCAGAAGTTGGTCCAGGAGCCTCACGAAGCACCAGAATGAGCTGTAAACCCCTGACTGGTGAAGACCTACGACTGATGGACAAGTCCATCAAAAGTCTCGGAAGGCTTTCGGAGCTGTGTACGAATCCCCGCCTCAGCCTGAGGAACAGTCCACCGTTTCTGCCTGATCTGGTTCGAGAGACTTTGACTTTGGTCACGCAGGTCTGGCTGCCTTATCAAGATGTCAGGGCAGGAGGAGGCCTGGCTCCACGAGGGGACGAGGCAAGATACATGAGAATCCATATCAGAAACCTGCTGGATAAGACGGACCGGGCCATACTGCTTTTCAAAGAAGGCCGAGAGAAGATATTTGATGAGACATCCAGCTACAGGTAATAATACTTCCATAATTTTGAAACTCAGAGTTTGGCTTACCCTGAACAAATATCTTAATTAAAAATTCTTGCTCCAAATAAATTTCATTCAGAATTGCCTGCATTAGGAAAAATATTGGAAAAAAAACTATTTAAATATGACTGCAAAGGTAACTTTACATAATGAGACACCTTTTTTCATAAATTGGCCATGTGAGAATTTTTCTCTATAATTTTAATGACAGCTGCCTCCAGCTCTAAGTAAACCTTTGCGATTCGCTTATTACGTGTTTTGTCCATCCACATTCCATTCAGAAACAAACAAACCAGTTATATCACAAATAACTAAACAGGAATTTGATAGAAACCCATCTCACTTACATACTTAATATTTATTTCCTTCCCATCCAGACTATTTAAAACTAATTTCCTTTTCTGTTCTTGTATTTATAATTTCCAACGCTGCTAAATTGGGCTGGTGCTTTTATTACACAGTGCGAGTTTATGCCTAAACATAAAAAGGCATTTAAAATTATACTTAACTTTCAAGATAACATTTTTAATCAGCCCTAAGGAAGTTTAATAACACTAATAAAACCCACAATAAACTGAACTCACTGTTTCCCGGAGTCTTAATATAGAACTTACTGTTGTCATAAAGTGACGAGATAACTGTAAGCAGTTCTCTTTAAGTGGTTACATTCAAACAGCTAAGTGAAGCTTTCTTGGAGGCTGGGCTGCCTTCTCCTGCTAGGAATACTAATGATGATTGTGGAAAAAGGGCCACAACCTGCATCTTTGTAATGCTAATAGGAAACTTGAAAAAGCAACAGCAACAAGAATTTCCTTTGAATTTGAACCGCTTGAGAAAGAAAGTGCGGGAAATAGCTTGCAAACAAACAAATTGTCTGTTTATCCCCAAGTAGACTGAACAAGCTCAGCAGGAAGAAGGACATATTTACCTCTGTGTTATGTTTCATTCAAATGTTTTCTGACAAGACCCAAATCTAACTTGTCCAGTTTTTTTCTTTTGAGATGCATATCAGTAAAGCACTTCTATTGATTACAAATGCTAGTTAGTGGAAGTGGGCGTTTAAATTGAGTTTTTTCTCTCTATAGCCTTCCTTTTATCACTGAGGCAACAATTAAGGACCTAATTAACCTCTAGTATTTGTAGATGTCCGTTAGGAAAAAAACTTATCTGAAAGTCAAACAGTACATTTTGCTCGTATCAGTAATGAGCGATAAAATGAAGTATCAAAACTTAATGCCGATCAAGTTTGGAGAGCTCAACAATAGTACAGAACAAAAACAGAATCCAGTTACTGGATGGTCTGGGAGTGGAGTTATGCAGGTTCTACCATATTCTCAATACATTCAGAGATTAAATATGCAGATATATTGCAAAAAATTAGATTATTATCACAAGTTACTTTGTTCAGATTGATAAATTTAAGAAAAGTGAAATTCTGACAAAATGAAGACTTATTGATATAACTGAAATGTTTATTTCTTTTCATTATTTATAATTATGCTCTTTAAAAAAATATAGAATTAGGTTGTTTTGAAAATATTAAAATAACATGCAGTAAATTTTAATGACGGGATTTTTAATATCGAGCTGCCGGCATTCTGAAAAGTGTGTCCGGACACAGGAGAGTATTTTACTTTTGTCAGATGAATTACTGCATCAGACTAAATCATTCCTAAATCATCATTGATTGTGGAAACTTTATTCTGGACATCAAATGTTATTTTTATTTTTATATGACAAGAATGCTTTCAACCGCTAAGCAGTACTTCAGTCTTTTCTTCTAAGCCATGTAAGACACTTTTCCTGACACCATTCTCAACTTGGATCATACAAAGAACATAAAGTACAAAAAAACTGTTCCCGTTCAGTTTACTCTGGTAACAAAGTTACATTTTCTGATCACTTTAAACAAGAGAGTTCATTTACAGCACATTCAGAAAAAATGAACCTCAGGTTTTTATCTTACGCAAATAAAAAATGCGTAAAATGAAAACCATGTCCTGGTCCTTCTGTATGAAGCTCCTAATGTGCTGACTCCAGCCTGAGGCAATGCTTTGTGAATTTAACCCAAATTGGCTAATTTTCCAATTTGGATATGACTGTTTGCATGTTCACCTTCTATCATACTTTTTCCTTCCACTTAACTTTTGCTTAATATACTAGGATATAGCACCCTACAGTCAGCTTCTTCAGCAATGATTTTTTGTGGCCACCCCTCCTTAAGGAGCATGATGGAAAACTGTTAAATAGATCTTCCTCTGGATTTTGTAGACTACATCATAACCATCTCTGTATGAATTTTTTTTTCTTTCTTTTTTGTCTTAAGTGCAATTCAAACATTCTGAGAAACTGAGAAAGGTATGGTTTTATTTGCTGAAGGTCGCCAAAAAAAAAAAAAAATGCTTGAAACATGTCATGCTCATTGAAAAGAATTGATGTAACTCAATTCACTTTTTAACTAGACTTTTGTTTTTTTAATAAATTGGCGTTTTTTACTTATATGCTAATTCATTTAGATGAATCTGTATACATATACAACTAGAGAATATCTTTCAGCAAAATCTGAAAGTTAGGTAAGCCATCTTTTTGAATCTCTTTGCACAACAGATGGGTCTCTTACCAAAGCAGATCTGCATGGGCAGTCAAGTAAGAAGTTCCCAATACTGTTACGTGTGTTGTGGTTCACATGTCAGAGTGCATGAATATCATCTTCTCTGTTTAAAAAATGCCTCCCTCCAACATGCTCTTTGTTGCGGCCTTGTGAGCAAATTCTCTGTCTTTATGTAAAATTGAATCTTTAGTTTTAGAATAACGCAGTCGGATGTCAAACGAGGCCTGAAGCAGAACTGAGATCTGGCTGACGGTGAAGGAGGCAGAAACACACTTCAGAAGGTGCAGCGCTTTTTACATAATTGTTTGCAAGACAATGTTGCCTTTGTCTCCTCTCTCAGAAATTTTAAAAGACATGCAAATATAAACAATGTCTCTTACAAAATTAATTTTTATGGGTCTCATACTGCATGCATGGTTTCGGTAGAGGAAATTGGACCAACATATATTAAATACCTTTATTTAGTTATCAACCAAAAAAGAAAAATAAAGGAGAAATACTACAGAAAAACACATTACAGCCTTTTAATTTTTGGTAAAAAAATATTTAGGGACATATATTTTCCTTTTTCATCAAAATCCATTACATATTTGTTAAAAATAAATAAATAAATGTTTTAAATAGTAACAACCACATGTGACATTCTAAAAAGATTAATTTCAAAGTACATTTGAACGCAAACGTACTTTGAAATTAATCTAGAATAACGATTCTAGATCGTGTAAATTAAATGCAAAAAGTAGTTTGTAAGTAAGAAGTGCTTCTCTAAATGGGTTTGCATCTCTCCACAGCCTTTAAGTCATGCCGATTTAAGACCTAAAACCTACTTAGATTTTAGGAAACAGGTCAGCAATTTTAAGTTGACGGAAACGATGAAAAATCAACTGAGTCCACAGACTGAAATGTCAAGGGGAAAAATAAGAACAAGATCAACTTTCTTGCTAAATATTGAGTTTTAAATTAAAAGGAAACCTTTAACAGAGGCAAATAACAAAAATAACATAATTTCCAAAAGAATGAATATTAATATTTGAATGATAACAGTACATAAACCCCTCTGTGCTTATTTCATTTTAAACAAGTTATGAGGCAACAGCATCGGATGTACAGACACAAGTTGTAACTTAAACTAGAAGGATCCAAAAGAAAAGAAAAGAATTATATTGTGCTTCATATGCGCAATTACGTTCAAACACAAAGTAATGGCGCAATCCTCTTTGGGTAGAGTGTGCATATATTTTTTAAGGCTTTATTTGCTACACTGGCCTTTAATTAAAAGTGGTCAGACAGGAAAATGAGTTGTGAGAGTGGAGGAAGGAAAGGTCATTGGGCTGGGACTCGGACCCGCATCGGCCGTATCGAGAATTAAAGGCCCCCGTACGTCACGTGGGCTGTCCGCTCTACCCCAGTGCCACTGCAGGAGCCCGAGTGTGCATATACTTAAACTAGTAAATAGAGAAAAAATAAATAAATAAAGGTGAACAGACGCATGCAGTGGTGTTGTGCTGTACATATCAGAACTTTTTCCGTTTTAGTTTTTCCTGATATTTCCAAGCACCATGGCATTAGATGAGGTTAGGTTTATCTCCAGTAGTGAAAGCCTGATCGGTGTGCAGTAAAAGTGATAAACTTCACCCCAATAATACTATATTCCTTAAGTGCACCAGATTCATTAATTGGAACAAACATTACTAACAAGGGATCTGGTAAAATGACCCTTTTACTGTCGAGCCACATTCATCCTGTCTCCTGCAAACATTCATCCACCAATATGCAGTCAGGGAGCAACTTGACTAATTGTTTTCCCCCAGGGGCACATTGACATGTGACGGGACAAATCTGGACTCAAGTCCATAATTTCCAGATCGCTACACAACTACTGTTACCAGTAAGCTGTTGTACTATGTATCTTATTTCATATAGTTTTTAAAGAATTAGTTAAAAAAGTAGGAAAAAGTTGGACATACCTAAACTACGTGACCAGATATGGTGGAGGACATCAGACGTCTTAGAAAAACTAACATGAGACCTGGTGGAGATGATGAAGTTGAAACTGGTTGAAAAGCATTGCAATATGCACTCCTTGCTATGCTTTTTTTGATTGCTTCTCTGTAAAAGTTAAAGCGTTTTTTTTTTTTAAGAGAATAGCCTTAAAACTGTGACCAGGCAGAGGTGGGATACGCTGTAGTCCACAAAAAGATCATGTTTGTTGTTACTGTAAATTTTACCACAGGGTCGATGTCCTTTGAAATGTATTTTTAAACACATGGGCTCAGCCATGGTGAGAGATGTGGCTTATGCATTTCCTCCCACCCCCACCTCTACTACTCCTCTCTTTCTAACACTCAGCAGAGGTTGTCCTTTTCTCATTCAGTTAAAAGTTCACCACCACTTGTTAAACATGTTCAAAATTTCTGAACCTTGGACAGATCTGTGAAAACTTTATTGAGATTCATTTCAATCAGTTCATTTTTGTAACATATGTCCATTGGAAATGGAAAATAGCCTAACTTTGCATTATATTATTTTATTGTGTTTCCTAAAAATTATTTCACGTCACGCAGAGGTGTTGCTAAAGAGTATCTGTTGCAGGTGTTAAAATAGTGATTTTCGATGCACTTTTTAAGGTTTGACATCATGCAGTGCACAAAAGTTACATGCATGAGAAAAAGTGGAAAAATACACCAGCAAAAGCAAAAGAACTCATTAAAAAAGTAAAGTGAGACCTCTTGTAAGAGGTCTGAAGTGACACACTGGCCAATGGAACATTTTGTGGTATTTACAGACGAGCTTGCAGAAGCCAGCATCCTGTTTGCAAGCTGGACTACTTGTTATGTGTTTACCTGTGTGTGTGTGCGTGTGTGTGTGTCTATGGAAAATACCAGCAATGCTTTGATAAAACTGCTGCCCGACACTGACTGACTGCACAACAAGGTGTTAAGTCACAGCAAGGTCGTATGTATGCACTAAATATGAGCGACTGGGAAAACTTGAAATTATTACAAGGTAACAAATATAGACATTGATCTAATTTTAAGCCACCTGAACATTTTTTTTTCTTTTTGTATTTTCTCACATTGCCATAACAAATTTCTCCAGATATTTGCATTTCTTGTGGTATACCAACACAAAGCTGTGTAAAACATGACGTGGAAAAAAATACACTTTTAATAATACGTTTTCTTGTTTTATAAACTAAAGTCTGTGTGCATGTGTTTGCAATTAGCTCAGTGGAGTCAAAAGTAAATCAAACCACCCTGACCTACAAATCTTTTGTGGTACATCTCTACCAGTTTTGTAGTCTAAATGAGAATTATTGTATAATTTGCTTTTCCCATTTTTCTGTCCCATGAGGCATTTTCAGTTGAATTTAGGTCTGGATTTTAAGTGGCCATTCTAAACATGTCATTTTGATTTCAAAGCATCTATGGCTGTATGTTAGGGTTGTTGTTGTGCCTAGAAGGTAAGCCTTTAATCCAGTCTCAAGTCTTATGCAGCCTGACAGGTTTTCTGTGGTGAAGGCTGAAAACTTGTTTTAGTATTGTCCTTTATTTAGCTCCAACAGTCCATCTTCTGATCTATTATGACCAGCTTCTTCATCCCTGTAGGAAAGAAGCACATCCACAACATGATGCCACACCTTGGTTCATGAGTTGTTCAGGGTGAGGTGATGTGTTAGTTTCCACCGCAAATACATCTTTACGATGGTCATATGACCAGAACATCTTCTTCATAGTCTTGAGCCTCTTATTAGGCTTGTTTTAAATTCTAAATGGGATGTCTTGCAGATTTTTTGTCAACAATGGCTTTTATCGTGCAACACCATAAAGGCCACATGTATGCATTCTAGTAAGTATGCTGTAGATATATTCTCCACAGACGTTGCTTTTCAGATGGTGGATTGAACAGAACTCTGTGAGATGTTCACAGCTTGGATTGGGTTTTGATCTTGGTCTGTTAGTTCACTGATGTTCTCCAAAGAAAACTGTGGGAAAAAAATCAACTGGAAGTTTATATTTTCTAGTAATGCAAAGATATATCTTACTTTTTTTTTTTTTTACTCAGAGCTATTTTGTTCTGTTCCTGCCTCTGAAAGTTCACTGTGTCTTTAATTGTCAGGAGGAATTTGACCAAACTGTCCTTGCTGTTCAGTCACATGCTGTGGGAGCTCAAGGCTATGTTTCCAGGGGGATATTTTCAGGGTGACACCTACAATGTGTCGAAGGTTGAAGCAGATCAATTCTGAGGAAATATTTTGGAACTATGTAAGTTTAGTACTTTTTTACTATATCTGTAGTACAAGCTTAATGTTGCATTTGTTTCATGTAATATTGTTGTGCTCTGATAGGTGCATCGTGCCATGGAGAAAATTCAAAGAACAGTTGAAAAAACGCACATCCATTTGAGGAAGGGATGGAGGCCATGGCACTAAAGTCAACAATTGATCTTACCTGTAATGATAACATCTCAGTGTTTGAGTTTGATATTTTCACTCTGCTGTTCCAGGTAAGTAAACAATTTCCAGGAAAAGTAAGAACTTCGATACATCAATAAAACATAAAACAAATTGTAATAAATATGTGTAATCCCTGTGTGATGTCATGTGAGCAAGATCTCACCCCCCAACTACCTTCTGGAGGAAAACATTAAATGTACACCTGAAATATTAGAAAAAGGGACGCTGTGCTGTGACAACCGTAACATGTAGATGTGATGAAGAATTTGGTGTTCAGTTATTATTATTATTATTATTATTATATTATTATTATTATTATTATTATTATTATTATTATTATTATTATTATTATTAATAAACACAAAATAAACATCAAGCATTGAAAAATTAATATCATAATGACCTGATATAATATCACAATGTTTTGTTCTTTGAGTGGGAAATGAGTGTATTTTGGTGTTGAATTATTGTCAGTTGCAGGGTGTGTACCAACACAGAAAAAATAGTTGAGTGATTCTTCAACAATTTTTCTGTTAATTTTCCCTTTGCTGTGGTGCACTGCATTGAATTAATAATACCTTGATCTCCAAGTTTCATTTTTTAACGTCGACGTTCCACTGTGACAGAACACTTTATAGATAGTATGTTGACTAATTGTCTTTTTGCCCTTTCGCATTGTGCGCATTCGCAAAATTTTTGGTTGTAAACAACAAATACAAGGGGTCCACATAAATTATTGTCGAGAAAGACAACGATACAGTCACTCAGCTGGCTTATTGAAATTACAACAGTACAACACATTTTAATAAACACAAAAGTAAACTGTAAAAAATGTTTTTGTGATGTCTTCGAAAATGACTTATCAATTTACTGTTCTTCCTCTTTTAGCCTTGGAAATCACTTATAAGAAACTGGAACCAGCTTGCTGTGACACACCCAGGATACATGGCCTTTCTTACTTATGACCAAGTTGTAGATCGGCTCGAACACTACCTGCACAGACCTGGGAGGTAAGCACAAGCGCAATATTATGCTTATGCTCTTTTGTTAAAGAGCGATGCCAGTTGCTATTCAATATTAAATGTGTAATCACGTTAAGTGTTTTATAAAATATCAGAATTAGTATTTAAAAGTCTGAAAATTAGGTAAAAATAACAAAATCAAGAAACTATGTGTCAGTTTAGATGTAATAGTGAAGAGCACTCACTCTTCACATTTCTTTGTATGAAACATGAACAGAAAAAGTTTGCGGCTCAGATTAGAAATAGGCATCAATATATTTTACTAACCATAAGTACAGTGACAAAAATGATGCACAATATATTTTTCCTTTATATCATTAAACATTTCCAGCTTCATCTTTCGTCTGAGCTGCACCAGAATGGGTCAGTGGGCCATTGGTCATGTGACCCCTGAAGGCAACATCATCCAGACTATTCCACAGAACAAGCCTCTATACCAGGCACTCATCCAGGGCTTCAAGGAGGGCTGGTCAGCACAAACATGCAGACACAGCATGCACACGCGTACACGCATATGTCTTATTTTTTTCCCCCTCAGTTTAAGCAACTTTTAAGAACTTTCTGTCCTTGTATCTGCAGCTATTTGTACCCAGATGGCCGTGACATGAACCCTGACCTGACAAGCTTGTGTGAACCGACCGGCAGAGACAAAGTCAAAGTTACCGAAGTAAGTTAACACATATGTTTGCATGTATTTAAAAGAGAATCTTCATTTTTATGATTAAACCTTATTGATAATCTGCACTGTTTTATTCCTTTAACCAATCAACCATCGACAGGAGCAGTACGAGATGTACTGTGAGATTGGAAGCACTTTCCAGCTGTGTAAGATCTGTGCAGAGAGGGATAAGGACATTCGGATTCAGCCCTGTGGACATCTTCTGTGCCAGCCTTGTCTCACGGGGTGGCAGGTAGGAATCCCATGCATTTAGAAAAAGATCCCAATGCTGATCGGTTTTCAGATTTGCAGACTGAGCTGGAGCTGAATCATAAACATCCCCACAGACTTCTACAGTACTCTCATGCATGCTCAGTGAAGAGAAGCAGACCAGATTGTGTGATCAGGTTTATTTTTGTATTTATGGGTTGATATTTGGTTTTATTATCATTGCACTGTGACAATGCTGGTTATTTGAATGTGGTTTGGGGTTAAGGTCAAAATATCATTTGTGTTCTCTATGCAAACACTTTATTTAAATGTTGAATTGCCAGGAAGTGACTACTTTAGTGTAATGTAATTTTAATTGTAGATAATCTAAAACTTTAAACTGCAGAAGAAAGCATGGATAACATATGTAACTTCTCAGAACATTTATTAATTATGTTTCATTAAATACATTCACTCTTTTGATCAATGTAGTCATTCCTAAACCCTATTTTGTTTCACATAGAAGATCATTTACTCTCAAACCTTATTAATATGAACCATGTAATTGATCTTTTAAGGAATAACTATCAAATTGGCTCTGTGTATTCTGTCTTAATGCTAAACATTTAGATAGAACATTTAGATGTCTGTAAAAATGGATTTTACAGACAGCAAAGAGAAATGGTGTCTCTTTCCTTTTGACAAACACATCGTTGATCTCCTTAGATAACACATAGCTCAGAAAGCACAAGACTCATACTTGTTTAAGTAATTGCCTACTTTTACAAGTCACTTATATATTTTTCTAATACATTGCATGTTTTGGTTCAAGATATTTTTATAACCTAGATGGCAGTATGCAATATTCCCAAAATTTGCCATCCAGAAAGTACAATAAATTACACGTCGTCCTTCACAATTACTGAAACCATTATGCTGACTCGTTGTTTAGGCGTTATGCTGACTGTGTGCTGTCATCAGACGAGACTAAGATTGGGGTTGTCAAAGACGAACACATTGGGTGGGTCTCGGGTAAAACGAAGGTAGAGTGTAAAAAGTGCCTTGTTTGTTTCATGAGACACAAAGTTGATCCTCTTCAGTGGCTGAATCAGTCGCAGTAAATAAATCTTATAGGAAACCTCAGGGATGAGCTGAAAGAAATGGAGCATTAAGAGAGAGCACAGGACTCTGTTTGCTCTAACTTTAAAAAACTAAATGTATCAAAATATATAAATGTTAATAAGGAATAAATGCAAAAAATTGTAAATTATTTTAATGGGCTTCCCAATCCTTAGATTAAAACACTAATAAAACTTTTCGTCCAAAAAAAAACCTAAACTCTAACTTTGCTGTACACATTTCTGCCTGGGGTGCAAAATATAGATGGACGTATACGTGACTTATTTTAAACCTAACATGTTTAATGCAAAAAAAAAAAAAAAACATTTTAAAAGCACCAAAAGATTTTTGTACATTAATTTTAAAATATGTAAATTTGCATTTGAGTGGTTATTATCTAGGAGATTATATGCTGCATGCTTGTTATGAATGAGTCTATGAATTCTTACTGTTGCATGAACAGTCATACATATTATATTACTTAGAAAACCCCAATCTGGTACACTAGATTGATTCTAGTGAAGGAGTTGAACAGAATAACTGATTTTTTGCAGATAAACAAATTATCCTTTCCTCTTAACTGAGAAATTCAGTTTAAGTTTTGATTGCACAGCAACCTAAACTGAAGTTCTCAGAAAACTGTGAAATATGAGATTCATTAAAGATTTTCATGAGATCAACAAGGACTGTAAAAATGCTTTTTTTTTTTTTTTTACTTGCGTAACCTATCGGAGAATTTGGAAGTTTTAACAAAGAACCTTTGCCACATACTGAACTAACCCGGATATCTGAAAGTAAAACAACTGATCAAAACAGAAAGGAATGTACCTTTAGTTAATCCAGTCTAACAGCAACTCTATTAGCGCCTGTAGCGGCTCAACCTTATGTTTATTGTATATAGTTTATATAGTTGCTATTGTAAAATCATGTTATCTTGCTTTGTAAGCATTTCAATCAACGATCAGCCCCTCTATCTTATGTGTAGAGGCATAGTTCTTTCAGAAATGAAGGGGCTATGTCCTGACATTTGGCTCAGAATTTCCTGTGTGAGATCACCTTCACATCCTCTTCAGTCACACTGACTTTAAGTGAAAGTCAACGCACTTGTGTGCATGTGTGTATGTAAGAGCACACGAGAGATTAATTGGAAGAAGAGAAAAAAAACAAAAGAAAACAGGAGAAGACTCATCTTTGTGAGACGTCAATGGAAGAATTCCTTTTTTTTTTTTTTGGATTGCAGTTTTTCAGTACTGATTGACAGCAGGATCTGGTTGCCAAGGGATTCAGAGCACAGTCTCTTACCAGACATGATTTAAAGCTATTGCTGGATCTTACAGTCAAAACACAAGACATTCATCTCCCCATCTGGCAACAAAATGGAAAACCTCAATCGAAAGTTTCTGTTGAAACTGTTGCTATTCTCTAGCACTTTTAAAAACACTTTCTTTGAAGCTAAGTTCAACTCTTTCCACTACACATAGTTCAAAAAGATCTGCGCTTGTACTGACAGTAGATTGCTACTTGTCAATCGTCTTTCTGTATCTTTACCTGTGTTGGGTTCGTGATCACAATTTAGCAGAAGTCAGCCGGCCACACCTGCCCATACTGCCGCTGCGACATCCAAGGAACCGAGTCCGTCCTCGTGGAGCCCTACCTGAAAGTCAGCCATAAGTGGGGAGATGATGAAGACGATGATGATGACGGCGAGGAGGATCATGAGGACATTGAGGTGGTGGTAAAGGAAATGGCTGCCCTCCGGAAGGTGTGTGAATAATAAAATCTGTTTTTCATTTTGTCTATTTTAGCTACACTATCAAGTTTGTTCAAGATAAAGAAATATGAACAATTAATTGTTTGTATTACTGTAAGTTAAATTAATGTTATTGCTTTTATAATTATCAATACTGTGAAAAAGTGCTTGCACCTTTACAGATTTCTTCTCTGTTTGTTTTTTGTCACTCTTAAATGTTTCAGATCATTTAAGATAATCATAGAAAATACAAAATTTAGTTTCAAATTCTGACTTAATTTAATAACAGAAAATAGCCACCCAGCATTAAAAAGAACAAATCTCAGCTGAGCCTCTTTAATTGTTCTGAACCTAAGGCATAATAAAAAGTTTAGTTAAATACAGAAAGTAATATCGGCCCTGAAGCAGAAAAGAAACCCCGGAGTATCACACTACCCCCACCATGTTTTGCTGTCACAATAATATTCTAATTTTGAAATGCTGTCTTAATTTTATGCCAAATGTATAAGGATGAACACCTTGCACAAAGTCCCACTTTTATCCCATCAGTCCACAGAATTTGCTCAGAACTAATCTTCAGGATGGTCTTTGGTAGACGTCAGCATTTGTGTTTTTTCCCGTCTGTCTCTTATTGGGTGTGAAAATGAATGAAAATTGAGAAAATAATGCTGTCAATTAAAGTGAATCTGTGATTCTATTTTCATGCATAGGTTTAATACATTTTTTCTTGATAAATGAAAATGATTTCTCAAAATAAGAATTTGCTTGTTTTATATGGCAATAAGCAAAAACAAAGAAACTGCAAATGCCAATTTTTTTTTTTTTTACAGCACAGCATGTATGTATATCATTTGTTATGACCTTACAAGGATTTGTGGTGTTTGACATTGTAATATTATGCATAGGTCTGGTTGAGTAGCAGACTCCATGGAATGGCAATATGTGACAAATAATCAAATCCTAATAAAAAAAATATAGACTTTATGAAGTTCACTCAAGAAGTATTTATCGAATAAAATTTTTATTTGTATGCAATGTTGCAGTGTCTTTATGTGGGACACATTCCTAATTCAGTTAAAATCCCAAATACTTTGATAATCCAAACGAAACCTAAATTAAATGTCTTTTTAAAATTAACTTAGACTTCACTTTTTTTGGCTCACATAAAATCTGAGTACCGCACATTTTTAGAAAGTGTCTGTACTTCTACCGCCTTGTTTCTGATAATTTGCTCTGATCTGCTAACCAGTTTTATGTATGAGTCGATGCTTATCAACATCAAGGAGACTTCATTTAAAACACGATTCAGCACTTCTTAACGGGGAGAAAGGTTCTCCACTGACTAATAACATAACTTTTTCACAGTTCTCAAGTTTGGACTCCCATATCAACAGTTCTCACCTCAGAGCTCCACCTATACCCCCGAAAAACTCTGCTACCGCAGACTGCCCGTCTCCTAAGCTGTTAAGCAGACACTCTCAATCTTATGATGTAAGTTTGCTCATTTACTCGCTGTTATAGATTATTGATGCGATAAACTGATACAATCTTTATGACCCAATTTTCCTTTTTCTGCAGGCGGCATCTGAGAGACCAGAGGCGAACAGGTAGGGCACTGCTTATGTATAGAGCAGATACAGAGATGTAACACTTAAACATGTAGTTCTTGTAATTTACTCTTATGTTTTGATTTACAGTAAGTTGGTAAAAGACAAAAAAACACAAAAACAAATCCAATAAGCACAGTAAAATAGCTCAGCAGATTTTGACAGCAGTTGCTTTGATTTTTATTTTTTATTTTTTTGCTTGTTTCAATTTGGCTGCACAAGTAAATATTCTAAAGACTATTTGCAATCATTAGAGAATTTTGACTTTTAAGGAAGAAATTTAAGATAAATAAACCAATCTAGCTAAAAATGAAAAATGTGGCACATTTTTCATGCTTTTCATTCTTGTTTTTGTCGTCACGTTTTGCATCTGTCTGTTTTCTGGTCTTGTACAGCTTCTGCCCTTGAATGAAAATGAGATTCCATCTCAGTTCATACTGCTAATAAGTTTACATTCAGCAAAACAATGTACCTTCAATGCGGTCATCATACGGATGAAACTGTTTTCACTTTCAGAAATGCAAAAAAAAAAAAGATAAAATGTAAAAAATAATCTCAAACATTATTCATAAATAAGAATAAGTACACCATTTTTACACAAATGACTTAAATAATCTTAAAAATTTGTTAGAAAAACAGCAAAGTTTTCTTTCTACTTAATAAGCTCTGTAATATTCTTGATATTGAATATAATTTCAATTGTTTGTAATTATTATTTGCAAATATTTTCATCTGGATTAATTTTCCATTTGAATTCCTTTTCAAACAGTTCGGCATTCTTCAGCGAAGCAAATTCTTCTTCTTCTTCCTCCCAAAAGGCTACAGACTGTAAGTGATGACCTTGATCCATCAAACGTGAATCCACAGTGCAAAATTATGTACAACGTAATATTTTAAACCAAAGATATGGAATTGAATTTTCAAACACAGTTCAAAAGTAATAACATTCCAACATCTAAAACCAGATCCATCACTGTTTTGACAGAAAACATATACTCTACTCATTAAGTAATTGATAGTGCTAACAGTCATGATTCCTGCTGATTGTATGTATTTGGATCATTAAATAAAAGTCAGTGTTAATGATGTTAGTTAGTGAGGTTGTTTATTGTGACAACTAACATGTCAACTAGGTGACATTTATTCAAGGTAAAGTTTAGTGGAAAGTGGAAAACAATTCAAGAAGAAGCAGAAAACCATAGCAGAAAACCTGCTCAAATGACTTAAAATTATTTGCTTACCGTGTCTTTTTTGATTTTTATGACATGTTTTTTGGTTGGTTGTTATTTTGAACAACAAATGGATTAATGCAAATATCCATAAAATGTAATTAATGATTCGTACAGTCCATATCTAATTGTGTCTTAGAATCAAGTCTGCAAGGTCTAAATTAAGTTTGTGCCATCTTCTGGTAAAACACTGGTTTAACCACTTCCTGTTTCAGTCGGAGGGTTTGGTGTTAATCCAGGAAGTGCAGCAGACCATTTCTGCTGAAATTACAGCACATTGTATTTGGTCTTCCTCATATGATACAAGTGGCTATTTTCCAAGTAAATGTTCTTTCACCTAAAATGCAAAAAATTTTATTTTATTAAACAGATGAGAAGAACTACATACTGTTGTTCCAACTGAAATCAATCAGCAGTGTCATGCCAGAATTGATTGGTTCAAAGCCAAAATTTGAGGAGGAAACAAAAATACACATAAGTAAAGATGAAATGTTTTGAACATAGTGAAATGGAAAAAAAAAATTAGACAGCTGTGCTACTTATGAGGCTGGTACACTCCTACTCTTTTTTGTGGTTGTTTGTAGGTGCAGCAGCATGGGCCGAACCTTCCAGTCCAGTCCAAGGGAGAAGACGTAAAGAGATAGAGAGAGGTGCAGCAAGACTCAGAAAAGACAAAACTGGCTTGGGAGAAATAACAAGAACTATGTCCTCTTGACTGAACAAACAGAATGGCAACATCTGAAGTCTGGGAAATGTTTAACAAAGAAGCAACGGGGATCTGAGATAACTTTTACATAATAAGACTTAAGTGAATGTAAGAAAAAAGAGGTCATTGTATCCCATGTCTGAATGGTCATGCCTGCTGCAAATAGTTCTGATCAGAAGTTTACATCAACTCTTCATCAACAGGAATATGATTTTCATTGTGGGTTTTTCCTTATTTGCTTAAATTATTTATTTTCTGGTGGACTGATAACACACCACACAGCTGTAGTCTTTTTTTGAAGCAAGAAGTAGACGCACAAGTTTTGATTTATTTTTGGATTATTTATTTTCCACTCAATGTCAAGCAGATATAAGAAGGCTGAAATATTCACATACACTCCCTCTATTTTTATGTCCACTAGCAAGTTGCAAAGAATCTATCATTTTTGGTTTTTTTAGCTGGCTGTAAGGTCATGGCAAAATGCTCACTGGATATTTGATCACTCTTTATTTAAAATATGAAACCGCTAATTTCATTTGGTTGATTTAGTGGGTAGAATTGAGTAATTAATCAGTGTCCTTTTATTTAAATTATTTTTTCCGCTGCCACAGAAGCTTAATGTTAGCGTAGGGTATCCATTGCACAATTGGTATTGTGACAACTGTTGTGGAGTTCAAATCTGACTAAAACACACATTCAGGCTGATGACAAACGTTTAAAAACCCAAGGCTATCATGAATTTAGAGATGATGACAAAGGAGCTTAACAATACCGTGGAATGAGACGGTGTCAAAAAAGACTTGAAGACTGAAATTTTAAGCTGCCAACAAGGATAAGACAAAGACAAACCAATTTCACAGTATGACTAAGAATACTTAGAGGAGTAAAAATGAGGCCATTAAATGTAAGAATACTTCTACCCCTGTCAACCACGGTGGTGGCAGTATTATGTTGAAGGTTGGTACTGAGCGCTTTGCGCACAGCAGGTGAAATGATGAAAGCTACCTCCAGCTTTTCATACAGTTAGTTAAACTTGGTCACCACGGAGTGATGATTACTAGCATCAAAACTGTTTTTTAAATGACTAAGATTGTCTAATCTTAAACTTCTGGACTGGCCAAAAACTGAACACTATTGCTCATTTATGGTTCGTAGTCAAAGCAGGGTATTTGCTAGTAATCCAACTGATTTAAAGGAGTTGTAGCCCCTTTTCTTCTTAAAATGAGTAGTAAGAACATTTAGGTAAAACTATGCCAATGGCATGTTGATTTCTACAAACAGGTCTACTTACTCTACAACTCGCTGAGGGTCAATAATCCAAATATCACCAATGCTATATGTCTATGTAAGCCTAGTAATCATAGAACATCCAAAATAATTTCCAATTTACGTACACAATACTTGGTTTTAAAAATCACTGCAAGTGGAAGCTGAACTATCAGCTCACAGGAAAAACAGGATGATCCAAATAAATTATTAAAAGGCAGAAACTAATTTGACCTTCGTGTAAGTGATGGTCTGAATGTAAACTTCTGATGAGAACTTTTGCTGAAAAAGAGGAGTGGGAAGTAATCCCTCTGTGGCAACCTGCTGTTCAGTAATCACATTGACATTATCACTATGGTGAATTCATCCTAACTTCCCAATGTAGTCTCGTACACCATCGTCTTTGTAATCAAATCATCTAATCAGCCTCCTAGATGTAAAAAAACTGACTCGAATTATGAATGAATTCAATTATGAAGACACTGGAAGAGGCTAATTGCTTGCCAGGAGCAAACATTGGGTAAATGATGAAAATTGCTACCTCCCCCATTAGCCACATTTAAACATGAAAGAAAAACCTAGTGATTTTTCTTTATGTTTTTCCCGTGTGCTTGAGTTTCACTCAAGCTGTTTCCGACTTATTAGTATTTACTTCCTGTTGAAAAAGTGTTTTAAACCCTGATATATATGTATCGCCTTTAAAATATGTGAGAAAGTGTGTGAAATCATATAGAAAAAACTCAAGTGAATTCAGAGACCTGAAAGAGAAGAACAAGAATAAGTTAGAATAACCCATAAATTGTGAAAATAAGGTCAGTGAACTCAGTTGGGAGGAGAGAAGGATTTATATATATTTTTTAAGGATTTGCTGCAAGAGTGTCTTCAACTCTTGTAGCAAGAGTTGAAGACACTTGCTACTCTGGAGTTTAACATAAACTCCAGGGTAGTTGGGCTGAGCGCAGCCTTGACCCCATGACACCAGGCTGTGCACTTGTCAAACACACACCAAAGGGCTGCCAGACTCACCCTGAAACACACACACATACACACACGCATGCACACACCTCCACACACACACACACGCATGCACACACCTCCACACACACACACACCCCCACACACACACACACACACACCCACACACACACACACACACACACACACACACACCCCCACACACACACACACACACACACACACGCACATACACAGAGTAAAAGTGTGAAGCTCCGAAACAGATCCACATCTGGTGGTTCAGTTCTGGAAGACCCATTTTGCATGCGTCTCTGCCTCCATCCATGTAACCAGCACACACCATCCTACGCGTGATCATGAGGACTGATGAGGACTGCGTTTTCACAGTCCTCATCATCCACTATGGGTACATCCAAACACTGCAGATGGGTGGGCATGTTTACTGTAACAGAAACAGAGACTCTCTCAGAAACCCCAAATTATTCACACACTTACAGTGTTGATGTCCTGTTTGAATTACCTTCTTCACCATCTTTAGCAGTGTTCCCCCATCCAGACATGGAGCAGGGGAGGCCTCCCATTGGACAGCCGGTGGGTAGTGAGATGGGTGCAACTCTTCCTCCACTGGATGGAAGAGCTTGATCAGCAGGATGTCATAGTCCAGAGTCTCGTAGTCACAGCTACACATGGAGAAAACTTAAAACTCAAATGCTTGTCTGCACTGATTACATGCATGAATTAAAGATACTGAAGCTTGCTGCTGTATTTTGCACTATGCACTGGTATGGAAGGAAGAAATAAAAAAAGCCTTTTTATTGTTACATTGTGCTGTTTTAGCCTTTTTTTTTTGATATTCTGTTTCTTTAAATCTGGATTTGTGAGGTCATTAGGCTTAAAGGCTGTATCATGAAACTTGTCTTCAGGATGAGATAAATCAGGCATTAGTTCAAAGTTATCTCCAGCTTTCTTATTCAAAATTCCTGCTTGGTAGATGATGATCCCCAATGGTTTGGATTTTGAATCCTATCTTTTGATATGCAAAAAGAGCTCACTATAAACAAGATATCAGTGAAGCATAGCTTGTGCTCAAAGGGAAGAGACGGACTGTGGACGAGGGCGGTGGTGTATTCACTTTGGGGGCCAGATGATAGTGTCAGTCTTCATGAGTTGTTCTGTTCCCTCAAATACACGTACATCATGTTGTCCAGGAAGATCTGCATCGAATGTGGACTGACAGAAGAAACATGCACAGCTTGAAGCAGGAGAAGACTTTCATAACAGATACAATGCTGTGTACAATGGTATCAACAGGTATTTTCTGCTGTAGTTCCTGTATTTTAAGCATATATTTATTTTATTGTTGGCCATTAAAGCTTAAAGATAATGGAAACTCATAATGAAGTTTTTTGGAGTTTTTTTTACCAGTAAAAAATATTGTCATACTGATATGTTGGCCTCCTGAAATATTTGTCCATGTTTTGGATAGTATGTGCACTTAATAGTCTTTTTGAGGCATGGAGGCTATTAGCCTGTCGCTCTCCATTGGTTTCTCTCATCTTGATCTTGATAAGGATTTAAAGTTGCCCTCTACATTTAACGCCATTTGAACAAGGATTCAAATATGCACCAGACAGAACAGAACAAACCATTTAAAGCAATTAATTCTGCATCTTTGCAGGCATACTTGTACCAGCAGAGTGCGACAGAAACCACCCACTGAGTACTGATGAGCACTCCTCCACAGAAGTGGGGCCCATAGTTAAGGGACGCCATGTAGGGACGAGAGTGCGGCTCACACGTTTGTGTTTTACAGTGCATATAACAATATGGTCTCGTGCTTTCATGGATAAACAAAACAAAGTGTTCATAGTATTTGTGTCCATCCTTCTGGGTGTATTTCAGCATATTTAGCAGCCGCTCCAATAAGCAGCAGAACATAGAGCAGTCTCATGGTTTTAAGAGATCGGGAGGTATCTAGGCCCACAGTGGATCATATATATATCACTAGCCTGCTGTGCTGAGCCTTTTCCAGCCTTCACTTTATTTCTTTTTTCTGTGAAGCTGTGTTATCTCTGAGTTTTTAGATTTGTTACTGAATGTTTAACCTCTAAATCTGTTGTCTTATCATTCACTACATTTCATATTTGCCCAGCCCAGCCACACCACAGCACACCCTCTAATGTCATCTGTACATCTTCTCAAGGGTTCACACAATTAACTACTATTAATTGTTTTGGGGATTTTCCAGTAAGCCGATGAACGTCGTAATGTTTATAAAAAATATATAAATAAAATATAAATGTATAAATAAAAAGATTTCACAGTCAGAATGTGTAAATAAAATCTGTGGCAAAAGAAATGAGTAAATAGTAAAAGTACTGGTGTGTTGCTGTGGTTTAGGTCATTATTGAGTAAAGCTTTGAAGCTTTAAAAGGTGAGAATAAAGCCATCTGTGGTGTTTGAAGCAGCGAAATGACTAAAACTGTCTTTTTTTTTTCACCCAGTCAGCCAGTGAACAATTTCATGAAAAAACTAAACTGATATAAGCAGTTGGCATATTTTCAAAGTATATATTTTATGTTCTTTTTACTTTATTAAGATAATTCCTGGCTATGTTTTCAAAAAAAAAAATACTCACAGACCAAGTTGTGGGTAGAGATTGGGGTGGATGTGAATGAGGGTGGAGCTGACAAGATGTCGAGAAGGAGGAGGGATCCAATGGAGGTCACATAAATGCAGAGGCCAGCAGGTCATCCACATTTATTCTGGTTGTAGAAAGTCCTAAGTAAACCACAAAATGAATGTTATTTTTTTCCTGCTCCTGGGAGCTGCAGCTAAAGTCTTTACAGTATCTAAACTTGATTTATGATAAAGAAATTTGCAGAAACTTGAAGAAGATGTGCATTTTGCTGATGTCACAGCTGCAGCCGTACTGGATGACAAGATCGTGGGAGGCTATCAGTGTGAAGCCCATTGAGAGACACCTGGAAGGTGTCCCTCAATATCGGCTATCACTTCTCTCTCATTAATGACCAGTGGATCATCTCTGCTGCCAATTGCTGGCAAAAGTGTGTTCTACACCCACAACACACAAATGCCTCCGTTTAACTATTCAGAATAAAAATCATGTGTTGCTTGTCTTCTTTTCAACCCTTTTTCACAGATTGCCATTTTGGGTGAGAATCACTTCTGGATGCATGATGGTACTGAGCAGTTCGTGGCTGTTGATGCCATCTACTGGAGTGAGAGTTACAATTACCAGACCTTCGATTATCATGCTGATGAAACTGGCATATCCAGTGGCTTTCAATGAGTTTGTGAAGCCTGTTGCTCTACCCAAAGCCTGTCCCACACCTGGAGACATGGGCATGATGTCTGGATGGAGGGACATCTACGCTGATCAAGATGAGATGTGCCTTACCTTGGAAGATAATCTGTTGGTTTTGTTTGTTTTTTCTTCTAATTTCAGATGTATTACTGGCTTCAGTCACAGCAGGAGTAGCACATGAATAATATTAAATTACACTCACTTTTGCATATGTGCAACACATCTGTGCTTTTTTCACATCTACTCTGTATCAAATATTATGCATTTAATTTGAAATGCATTGTATTTAAATTTAAATAATTGTATAGTGGATATAACACAACAAAATGTGAAGTAACTCAAGGGGTATAAATGATGTTGCACTTACATATCAGCGATGTGAGTGAGATTTTTCTTTCTACGAAATAAATAAAAAAAAAAAGTCTTTTCCATCTTCTCTCAAATTACAGCGTTCAACCCATTTTACCTCCAGTGTGTGGAAGTGCCCATATTGCCCATCAAGGAATGTGAGGACTCCTACCCCGGCATAATCACTGAGTGTATGGTGTGTGCAGGATATCTGGAGGGAGGCAAGGATGCTTGTCAGGTATTTTATGCACAATTGCACAAAAATGGATCGACTGTACAACTCTTCTGAAGGATTTTTTTTTCTTTTTTCCACCTTACTCTGTCCTGCGAAGGGTTACTCCGATGGCCCTCTGTTGTGTAATGGAGAACTGCAGGGAAGAGTGTCTTGGGGTCAGGGCTGCGCTCAGCCCAACTACCCGGGTGTTTACACCAAAATTTGTGCTCTCATGCCCTGGATCAATGAGATTCTTTCCAGATACAGCTAAGGCTGTGATCTCATTTTATGGAAACAGAGGCAGAAATAATGAGGAGGATGTTGAAGGTGGTTCAGAAAAAAATTGGAAAAGCTGCTATTGGTAGAAGGAACCATCTAAAACCAGAGAGATTCAAACACACATCAGATTAATCAGATAATGGCTGAATTGAGCCAACTAGGAACAAAATATGCACATCTCAATGGTGGTTTTTTGATTAACAATAGCGCTGCTTTTCTTCATTAATCTGATTAATTTTAATCTCCTTTGACAATACCAAAGAGAAACAACAGGAAGCTAATTATTTCTTTTGAAAAATACTTACATACAGATTTCTGTGCACAAATCTGTATGCATGCATATGATTAAAATACATTAAAATACATATTTGGTATCAGGAGATCACTTTGAGTTTATTTTTTGCTCATTTCGGACATTTTACTGAACAAGACCCACAATGTTCTGCTGCTGCAACATCCATAAAAAGCAAAAAAAGATCCATCTGTCATTTTTTTCAGACTCTTTTTGCTATAAATGGAGTCTAAAAGCCTTCGACTTTGAAGCTTTCCTCAACCAGACAAATAAAGATAAGTGCTGCTTTTTGAGCTCCATTTTTTGAGCTCTAAATTGTCAGAGACACTCAGAAATGCACAATAATTAATGGATAAATTGCAATAAGTTTAATTTTATGCAATATTAATGGTGTTGCAGCAAACCTCATCAGTAAGTGGTGTTTTTTTATGACGGTCTTTTTTAGTTCGTAAGGGAAATAAACAATAAAACATTGTTTAAATGTCATTTAAACAATGTTTAAATGACAACTAATTAAATGAACATGAAATAAAAATATTAACCACAATTTTATGTCCACCATGATTAACTGCAAAGCACACTGTTTGGCTCACTAGGCACCAATTTTGAATAACCTTCTTTTTCATAAGGTTTGTTGAA